TTTATGTCATTTTACGCGAACACTTAAAAACTCCAAATTAAAGTTTACTCATATACAAATTTAGCAGCATTGTTAAAATGTAAACGTAAAAGGGAATTACCATATCTGACTTTATTTTGAGAATAATATAAGTGCCAACACTTTAAAACCTGCCGTGCTTTTTCTGAGATAAGATGAGAAATATTATTTTAATGTTTCATTCGATCAAGTTATTTTTATACGAGAACATTCTCGTTAAAAGGAGAAAAAATTTAATGTTTCATTTTTATCAAGTTATTTGTATAATAATCCCGTTAAAAAGAGAAAAATAAGTATGGGTTGGTTACATAGAACGAACAAAAACGCATCCAAAATTTCTAGCCCTTGCAGAAAACGGGCCCAAATAATTAACGAAGAAACGCAAAACAAACCCACTGACACTTATTAGCGTTATTATCAGCTCGCTTTTGCGTTAACGATGTTAAGATCATTAACTTTCTTTATGCATGTTAGTATTGTAATTATTATTTTTTCTTTATAAGGAACAAAAAGATACAAAAAGAATAAGTAACCAAGCAGTTTTAACACAAAAAAAGTTGAAGAGCGTACCAATATCGAGGTCTAACTTGGCTGATTGTACATCGATTTTGAAATTGAACAGAAAAATAACATGCAGATGTCGATGGCCAAAGTGCGAAACCACGTGCCTCCGTTTGCGAAGTTGCAAACTTCCTGTCATATTTTCTTTTTTCGTAGAAAAAGTAGCTGACATAATTTCTTGAAAACTTTCTTGATTGTTCTTTACTTTCAGGAAAATATTCTGTATACATTTCAAGCTATGCAGTTCACTTGTTTTTCTTTAAAAAAATAAAATAGGAGCGAGAATTTTGAAATACCTCAATGGAGATACGTATGGTTTCGCACTTTAGCCATCAACTTTGATTGCGAAACTGGGAAATTCCGAAGTATGCCAAGTTACCGTTTTTGGCCACTTCTACCATCTTGGATTTTTTAATTTCGAAAATTGACTGAAAATTTTACCTCTAAATCAAAACATACCGCCTGGCAACAAGTTCCAAAAAAATCGATTGAGCAGGAACCTATTGTATAGAAGTTTGGGCTACATCCGCCATCTTAAATTTTCAGATTGTGAAAATTTGAGTTGAAATTCAAGTTTCCCGTCAAAAAATACCAGTTCGCACCAACTTTCACAAAAATCGAACGAACAGGGGCCGCATTTACTCCAGGATCAGTGGGTCTCAGAACGGTGGTAGAGGACGTCGGTCGACTTACGTAAGTTAAGGCGCCTTCAGTTTCGTCTGATACTGTGCAATACTTCTGTGGTGGAATAGTTGCTCAGAGCGCCTGCAACAGTGCCGATCCGCCTTCAGGGCAGAATCACGATTACCTACAGCTGAAAACACACTCCGCAGCATGCGTGGTCACTCATTCCCTCATTACCGAGGGTGTAACAGTTAATACGTCCATTAATATCTCAATTTGCAACGTTGTAAGTTTTTCACTACCTATTTTACATAAGACACTATAAACTCTGCCTGCCGTCATTTTTCCGCGACTAAGGTGATTCGATGGACGCAACATTTTGTATCAGAAAGGCATGCGATATATCGCATCAATTGGTTCCATTTTTTCGCCCAGCCTTCTTTCTTGAATTCAGAGATTGCAATTCTGTTGTCAGGCGACTAAAGCACTCACATGCCATTTTTAACAAAGAAATTTAACGTTATGAAGGCGTGTGTTTTTTTTTAGAGAGAAAACATAGCATTCGATACTGATATCAAAATTGCACTCGAATGCAATATTTTCTCTCTAAAAGACCAAGCTTTCATTACGTTTTTGTTTGTCAAAATTGGTAAGTGAGTGCTTTAGTCTCCTGACAACAGAATTGCAATCTCAAAGTTAAAGAAAAATGATTAGTAGCTGAAAAAATAGAGCCAATCGCCGCGATATTTCGCACATCGTCCTGACACAAAATATGGCGTCCATCGAATCACTAGGCCCACCACATCCCATCTCGGGCCCTGGTACCAGTTTTAAGGTCCGAGCCCCAAGCACGGGGGGGGGGGGGTCCGAGGGGCATCCCCCGAGAACTTTTAGAATTTTGTACGACTGATTGGACGCATTTTGAAGCTTCCATAAAGAATTTTTCCATAAATTTCTGCGGGATATTTATATTTTTTCTTTCTACTTTCAGCACAAAATACTTGTGAATTATTTCATTCAAAACATCTGGAAAATTTATATTTTTTTAGGGGGGGGGGGGGGGCATATGATACCATTTTCAGTTCTATGAGGGCCAGGCCCCCCTGGGCTCCCCCTTCGTTTGTCTATCGCAACGGAGTTTAGCCATGAGCCATCGAAGTCGAGGATGCTCAGACTGGAGACTCTTAGCATCTGACGACGGAAGAAAATGAAACGCACTTACTAAAAATATCCCTCTGTACTGAAAATCTTAAAAATAGATAGAAATTTTCCAAGAAGTAAACTTCTTTGAAAATTTAAGGAGAATTCTACAGTGCCCCAGCGTGTTTCTAAATATCTATTCACCTCTTGCGAAATTTTTAGGATAAATTTTTCACTTTTTCTTACGAAACAAGAGTTGCATGTGAATTCGTAGTGGTTTTTCACGGGTGACACGGGCCCCCTCCGGGGCCCGGGCTCCGGTAACAGGGACCCAGTATCCCCCCCCCCCCTTGTGGCGGGCCTGCCTTCATGCACGCTGGGCTTTTCGATTTCCTTTGACATTCTTGCAGTGGTGAATGCATAGCTGAAGTGCGCTCTAGCTAGAATTGTATTTAGCAAATGGGTGGTTTTTCTACGAGGATTAAAAATAATCAAATGGTACAGAAAGTAACAAAAGAATATGAACTATGCAAAACGATACTTCGGGTATCGGAACTTGGCTGATTTGAAAACGCCTTCAAATGCGGCGTGATACCTCACACATTCCGGAGAGTTCAAATAGTTGTATCATTGCGCCGTAAGAATGTGACGGAAGATTTAAATGGAAATAGCCTCCATGCACGCTGAGTGTCGATTTCCTTTGACATTTTTGCAGTGGTGAATGCATAGCTGAAGTGCGCTCCAGCTAGAATTGTATTTATCAAATGGGTGGTTTTTCTACGAGGATTAAAAATAAACGAGTGGTACGGAATATAACAAAAGAATTTGAACTAAGCAAAACGATAATCCGGGTATCGGAACTTGGCTGATTTGAAAACGCCTTCAATTGCGGCGTGATACCTCACGCATTCCGGAGAGTTCAAATGGTTGTATCATTGCGCCTTAGAAATGCGACAGAAGATTGCAATTAAAAAAGCCTTCATGCACGCTGGGCTTGTCGATTTCCGTTAACATTTTTACAGTGATGAATGAATAGCGGAAGTGCGCTCCAGCTAGAATGGACTCGAATTTCGGGTCGAATTTTGAAAATTCAGAAATCCAAGATGGGTTTTTATGGGAGGATTATAATTAAAAAAGTGGTTAGAAATGGAAACAAAAGAATATGAACTAAGCAAAACGATAATCCGGGTATCGGAACTTGGCTGATTTGAAAACGCCTTCAATTGCGGCGTGATACCTCCCGCATTCCGGAGAGTTCAAATAGTTGTATCATTGCGCCGTAAGAATGTGACGGAAGATTGCAATGGAAATAGCCTAAATGCTCGCTGGGCGTGTCGATTTCCTCTGAAATTTTTGCACAGGTGAATGCATAGCTGAAGTGCGCTTCAGCTAGAATTGTATTTATCAAATGGGTGGTTTTTCTACGAGGATTAAAAATAAACGAGTGGTACGGAATATAACAAAATAATATGAACTACCTACGCAAAACGATTATTCCGATAACGGAACTTGGCCGTTTTGAGAACGCCTTCAAATGCGGCGTGATACCTCCCGCATTCCGGAGAGTTCAAATAGTTGTATCATTGCGCCGTATGAATGTGACGTAAGATTTAAACGGAGACCGAGATATACGTGGTTGCGGACTTACACCGGCGATATACATTTTGAAACTGAACAGGAAAAGGACAAATTATAGATATCTCGAATCGATTTATAGGTATTTAAGAATGTTATCGCTCAGGTTGAGTCTGGCGTCCACACTATTTTGTCGGGGAAAGAAAGCCGGAAAAATTCCTAAAATTAGGTAGAACTGAAAATTGTGAAAAGAATTAGAGAGCGCGGAGATGAATTTTTTCTCTCACTTACTTTATCCTGAATTTGTTCGATGTTCAGGTGTTTGGATGGGGAGGGTGGGGGGAGGGGGGCAGAAAGTGGATCGTTTTTTCATGCCCCCCAGATCCCTGACGAGGTGCTCCTCTACCGACGAAAAGTTCCTAATTCCGCCCATATTCGTTAAGCATAGTCTTAGTATGAAATTAGTTAATGTTCTAATGCTATTGTAAGTGTGAAAATTACGGTGAAAACCGGGAGATTAGAACTTTTAAAATGTCGCGGGAGATTATACTTTAAGTGACGTCACGGGCTCTATGCCAAAACGAGAGACGTAACCAAATGACGGCCTAAGCTAGAGTACCTTGACCTCCTCCTCCGCCCTCGATAAAATGGCGTTGTTTATGATTGATAATCTTCATAAATAGCGTAAATGCCGTACAGTGTTTGAGAACTGCCTTTTTCCACCCTCTGGATTGTGAAGGAAATATCAAACATTTTCAACACAAATTTCGACGAGCAATTTTGATGATCGGGGGAAAAATATCATTACACGCACAGGAGGAAAAACAGATTTGACATTCCTGTGTGAATTAAATTGTGAGAGGCAATTAGCAACGTTGCAAATCGAGTTACGTGGTTTTTCCCCGATTGGCTTCATCTGGGTATCCTCGGTCAATCGCCATTTTGAATTCGCAAGGCACATTCCGAGCGGTTTGCCTGACATTCGGCGTCCCGTGTTCCGATTCGATTTCCAGCAGTGTTTCGAAGTTTGAAAGTAAATTGTTTCGACGAATCCTCGTGTAAGTCTGTAAGTACGTACGGACTTTTCGTTTCATCTACGTGGACGTTTCTGCTCCCATAGCTAAGGTCACCGGAAAGAGATTCATCGACGAAAGTCACTGTAACCGGTAAGCTGCCTAACGCTTTCTCAATTCAAGTTCTTTTATACCCGTTATTTTTCTCGTTTTGATCCCCAATAATCAACGAGGATCCACTTCGAAATTTTCACCATGTCCGTTCTAATGCCCTGAAGTCTTTGCCATCTAAGTACGGGTGCTATAATTTGAAGTCCATACCTTGCCGGAAAGAGCCTACAGCTACCTACCGGCTACTTACACTTCTTGGCTGTCTCATCAGTATCGCTCAAGTGACCGTCAAGTATGAAATGCCCCAAATCTTTGCCGTCTATGCAACTTTTCTTCTGGAGATATCTGAAAGCTCACTGTTTTAAGTACGACCGAACAACCACTAAGAATTGGTGCCAAGCTCAGATTTTTATGAGATCATTCCTAAGTACTAGACCTATATATATTAAGTTCAGGAACATTTACTTTCTACAGCTAATCTCATTCCATCACTGAATGCATTTATTCTCTACATTGGTAATTTCCATTGCATTTAATCCGAATACCTACAGTGAGTTGTTCTCCTTAACAGTTAAGTATGAATAATGCCTTGATTCAATGTGGCAGTAATTTATCTTTATATTTCACAGGTCAGTCCAAGATTATTGGCATCTAAGTTGAAGTGAACACTCTGATTTAATTACGAACAGGGTTTTTTGGCTGAAAAACATGACTAAAGCTCAAATGGCTGCGAAAACACCTGCTGCAAAGGCACCTGCTGCAACTCCACCTGTACAATCTGCCATAAAAAGGAGGTTTGTTAAGCACTATTAAAGTTTTGTACTGCCTTTATTTAAGTATTTATCTTAAGTTTTTTTTTTTTTTTATTCCCTTGTGTCAAGTGAAATCTCTTTTTTTCAACGTTAGGTCTTAGTGTCATTGGCTTCCTTGTGATTCCATATCATTAACCCATCAGTTCATTAAGTATCTTGGCCATCAGCGAATTTTTGCGAGTGGAATTAGCGAGTGGACTTTTTCAACCAATCAGGTAGGGTCTCAAACCAAGGGAGAAAAACGCTCTGCTGAACTCAAGAACTAAACTCAGTTGCTTGGTTAATTACGGCTATGTTTGCATCCATCCACTTTTTGACCCACCTCGCGAGGTGAGTTGAGAATTTTGGGTTTGGTCGTCAATGCTGCCAGCATGAAAAATGAATATCGTAGGCGCTGTGTCGCAGTGAGGGAAATTCATTTTGTTGTAACAGCGGTTGGCAGCAAGTTTAAAACTTGAACTAAATCCACTCGTGAAAAGCCTTTTAACATGCAAAAATCAGTGACCAAGAGCTATTCAAAATTATCTTAAAACTCAACCCTAAAAAAGACATTTGACATTCTACTTAGGTGTTAGTAATCAGTTTTTAAGAAAATGAGGAAAAAAACTGCATTTTATTGGTCTTGCATAGTTGATTTATTACTATCAGAATCTCAAAACAAGAAAAAAAATCAGGAATATTCGAGGTTCTTTCATGTTCCAGGGCATATTACCCAATACCAAGCTTGAGAACGGCAACAAGATAATAAATTACCTACCCCATTAAATTAGTTTTCGGTTAGTTACACTATTCATATAAATTGATGAGAATGCGATCTATGGTGGAATCATTAAAATATCCTAACATCAGTACCAAGTCGTTGGACAGCTCAGAGTCAGTGGCTTTTTTAAGGCAGTGGGTTAAAAAAAGTTCTTCCAAAATCTTTAAAATGTCACCTAACTGCTTCATTGGTGATACTCGCCCTTTAATTATTTTATTGTCAAGTGTGTTTGCTCTTTTAATGAGGAAACACCTGTATCTGGAGAAGAGCTTTATTACTGAACCTCACTCGGTAAAGAGAGGCGTCAAGTTTCCGAGAGCTTTTATATTTTAGGAAACGTTTAAATTTGAATTTAATTGGTGATTAATTGAAAATAACTCCATAACAACCGTACCCTACCATAATACCAAAAAATTGCAGCAAAACAAAAAATTACAGTGCATAGTAAGTTTTAGGTTTGTGATGCTGAGTACTCGTATGAACATTGACAAGAAGCCAAGACACTAATGAAAAGTGGTTATTATTTTCAGGACAAGGAGCAAGCGGTACATGAATCGTGCTCAGCAGTTCAAGATTAAGAATGCGCAAGTGAAGGAACAGACAGAAGCAATGTTGGCAGCTGGAAGAAATAAAATCAAAGTCAGTGGATTACCAAGATTTTATGTTATAAATGTAAGTTACCTCTGGTATAGTGTAATCATCAGAGTTGCCGGCAGTCTGAAAAATAGGGAAAGTCTGGTAGTTTATAAGAAATTTCAGGAAATTTTGCAAAGTGCGTTTATCAAAAGTGAGTGGAAATATAATGGAAAAATCCAAGTGGAAGTTTCATTGGAATGTCAGGGAAAGTCAAGGAATTTGAAGATGAAGAAATTATGGCAACCCTGAATCACATATCAGTTCTTAGATAACATTCTTGAATATCTTGTGAAAATGAGAAGAGATAGATTTTGCAAAAATCTCCAGGGTTATTTTAAAAAGATTTGAAAATAATTCAAAAGAAGACAGAAAACAAGGAATAACCCTTACAATTGTTTATCTTCCTAAGTTTCCGGGGAAAAACGTCTTGCCATTTATTTTAGTAGTGCCAGAGACCCAATGGCAAATCAACTCTCAATTTGAAATTCTAATTTAAGTTGCCAGAGCGCTGCACTGACACAATTGAATAACTCAAATGTGAGTGCTTATTTTCTATTTTATGCTTTAAAAGGGAGAAAAATTTTTATTTGAGATTTTAGGCAGTCTGAAAAGTAAATATGTAAAAAATTAAAATGAACTCAAGACTGAAGCACCATAAAAACGGTGAAATCTTCAGGTCTTCAGAGGTTAAGTATCTATTCTAATTCAGGTTAATTTTTTTTTTTTTTTTTTTTTTTGTCTTTCAAGGAAAAATAACCACAAGCAACCATATCAAGATATGTCTTGACTGCTCCTCAGGAAGCTTTTTCAAGATCTATCCAAGATTTTTCTCTGTTCTTGCTCCAAAACTATTTACTGTGAAATCAAAATTACCTCTTCAAGGTTTCCATAATTTCCTCATTTTCTAATTCCGAGACATTCAAACATTAACTTTCCAATTAGATTTTTCTCTATTTAAATTACATATTTACTTTCACGAAATCTTGGAGAAACTTCCACTCCCAGAGATCAAAGAAAAAGGCACTTTCAAATTATTTGCGCTCTCTCAAATGACACGAACTGAGCATGCAGCGCAAACATTGTTTTCGCAATATTTCCAGACTTTTTCAATGAATTTCCAAACTTTTTTTAGGTTGCTGTAAATTCCCTGACTCGCTAGATTTTCCCGATGAGTGGAAACCGTGTTATTTAAATACAAATGTATCACAAGATAAGGAACCTTAGCTGATAAAGGCAATTTATGTCACCAATGTATTATTGATGGGCAGCTATGACTTGTTACCTGTTCTGTGTCAGATTTAGTCTAAACAGATATTATTTAATAATCTATTAAGGTAACTACCAGTAATTGGCATTCTCAATTATTAACCCAAATAACAAGCTTTGTTGGTGATATTATGAACTGGTGATAATTTAGTTTCAAATCATACCAATAAAGGGAGCTGTTAACACACCCATGATGGCTTTGAAGAAGTGGGAGAAGGAGAAATTTATTAGTAAACACAAGCACCTCCGTGCACCATCAAAGAACCGTCATTTCTTATCAAAATTCGTAAGGGTAAGCACCTCTTTCATTAGGGGTTTGCAGTTTTAATTTTGAATGAATCATGAAAGTTGAAGTATTGGCGGATTCTACACTCTATGCTGGCTTATTCTATTTAAAGTTAAGCTAGAAATCTTAATTTTTAAGGCGACAATTACAATGCCCAGCATTGATATGGTGAAATTGGTATGGTACTGGCTTCACCAGTCTTTGGCAGTGGTTGCCAGTTGCTGATGCACTCAATTTTTGACCTGTTCCAATGATTGGCACTTGGAGTTTTGAGGTTATTAAATTGAAATTTTGGATGACTAAGAAAAAAAATAATAAAAAATCCCAACATTCATACTATGAAAACACAGGCTTCCCTAGTGTTAGGCAGTGGTTGCCAATTACTGGTACACTCAATTTTTGACCAGTTCCAATGACTGGCACAAGGTGTTTTAAGTTTAATAAATCGAAATTTTGGATGACTGAGGGGGAAGAAATGAAAGATATTAAACAAAAACACATTAAAAACAAAACAAAAAAAAAGCAAAATTAAAAACACATTGAAATTTCCTGGTACAGTTACCTCATGGTACATTAGCTCATGAAGAAAGGTATCAGTCCTTCTTACTAAAATCAATTATCAATGATTCATTGTTGTTTGCCTTTGTTATCTAGGACCCTTTGCTGCAAAGCTTCCTGAAGACAGTGAGAGATGATTTAAAGCTGAATGTTGTTCACACAAGGTTTTCAAAGAAAGGTAATGCATGGCTCTACTTATCATTCGCAACAGAAGAAGAACAAGTTGCTGCTCTGGAAAAACTGAAGAGGTTCACCTGGCAAGGTAGAACTTTAATCAGCACTGTAAGTAATGTGCATTTTTGCAAAGTATTCACTTTTCATTTTCTCTAGTGCATGGTGTCTAGTACAGAAACAACCACACGATGTGAGGTTGTCGCATAATCCTGAAATTACCTTGGTATCAGTCCTCTTCACTATATCAAGTCCAACCAGGAATGTATTCCCTAGGGGGAGGGGCCTTTGTGATATTATCTATGCCATTTTGGCCAACTTTTTGACCCTCTCTAGAAGCCAGCCTCTAGGCGCCCCTCCTCTCCCCCCTTTTTGAATCAAATTAGACTAGCCTGACCCCCCCCCCCCCCCTTCCAATTCTTCAGAAAGCCTGAAAAATTCTCTGGATCGGAAATAAGTTTTTCCTCCTCAAAATGGGAAGCTTACATGAAACTGAGCCTGATCCCACTTACCCCTCAAAAATTTTCAGTTTTACGTTTGAGAATTGGAAAATCTTAAATGTTTTTATTAATTCAATAATCACACCTAGTAAAGTTTATATATTTGGTACCCTTTTCTTTGCACAGTTGGTGACTACCGATGAACTGAAGAAAGAAGATGATGATGAGGCTAGTGCTTCCAAGAAAATAAAAATTGAAATTCCCCTTGAGGAGCAAGTTTTAATGTCTCAAATTCCATTTTACAGCATTGACTATGAAGAGCAGGTAATTATGTTTTAGTGTATTATTTAATAACACCGCTTAAAAACCCAGATTATTCAAGAAGCTTTGAAAACTCAAAATTTTATTTATATCTCTCAGTTACCCATACTTCATTATGCAACAAGGAATTATTATTTCTTGCTCATTTTAAAAGTAAAATATGTGTGTTACCTGTGTACACAGGTGTCTTTATGGATGAGCCTTAAACAGTTGTTCCTCATCGCAAAATGTAATCCAACTGAGATGCAACCAGGAGAACATTACCTTACTCTTTTCAACCGGCCAGTGCTCTAAGTATATTGTATATGTTGTGCAGGCAATTTTGTTTACAGATTTGAATGGTCACAAAATAATGGGAACTTATAAAAGTGCATCAGCTCTAAAGTATAGTATAAATAATTTGTTTCATTCATGTATTTATTGCTTGCAGTTGAGTAAGAAGCACGAGGAAGCTCACAGCCTCCTAGCAAGAGTCCGAGACCTAATGGTGCGACAAGGTCATGCCAAAGAATGGTGTGATAAGCGCTGCAAAGAATTGGAAAGTGATATTCCGTTCGCTTTGGAAAAAATACGACCCTGCCCAATGATCAATGAATATCGCAATAAATTTGACTTCGTCATCGGTGCGTACATCTGTTCAATTACTTGTTCCATATTATTCACAGTTGCAAGTTTACAGGTTCATTAATGGCTTAAAATATGTCTGAAGTAGAGAGTTTTTAGATCTTTTCATGGATATTCTCCTCTACCACCTCACTGTAACTACTTGTCTTTCCTTGAACATTGAGATTTGAAATCATTGCTGTAGTTGCTCTGATATCTCTCTCGTTTTTGGTGTTTCAAGAGTTTATTTTTACAAAGAATTTATTCTCAAAATAATAATTGGAGAAGTAAAATATCTGCTCCACACTGTCATAAAGATCCCAAAATATAAGTTTAAAGAAGAACATATTTATCACTGAAAGATTTGTGGTCGTGGTACCTCTGCAGGTGTAGATGCTCCGCAGGTACAACTTCTTGATAGTTATATTTCTGCCGCATCTTGAGGAAGTAGTGATTAAACTGGTCGTTTGCAGTTTTGGCAAATGACTTCGGCTTAAAGGGTCTCAAGCCCAAGCCAAACACAGCTGTCAATCTCATGATTTAAAACTTTTAAGTGGTAGTCAAAATGTTTATAATTTGACAATAAGAAAAAAAGAGAAGAAGTACTCAATGCAATTGAATTTCCCTCGTGCTAAATCCTCTTCTATAGCCTACACACCTCGTAGATAAAACTCTTTTATTCACTCAAGTTATTTCTTAGTTCCTAGATTTGTCAAGTGCTGTACAGCCTAAAATTTAAAAGGACCATCAGAAAATCTGGGGGGGGTCTGGGGGGGCGGCGCCCCCTCAGCAGGTAGCTTTTGCTACTTGTTTCTTAACCCATTTGCATACTAGCATTTTTTTGCCCACTGCGCCTACCCGTATGAGCAACTAAGAGGGCAACAGAATATCCTTGAATGATATTCAGAACAATATTAATGGTCTTACCTATTAGACCAACGGTCACACCCAAGCAAAACGATCGTCTAGGAACTGTGCAAGTTACCTCGTCTCTTCACAGTCGCCCCGGGTTAGGAAAAGCAAGTGCACACCATGTATGCGATGTATGCAAATAATTGCCTAGCAACTGCATGAGTCAACCTGTTTATGTACGCGAATGGGTTAAATCTGTCATTTTACTTTCTCACGATCAGACCGTCAAAATTAGGTACTGATTATACGTATTGGTATATTTGGATTTAAATTATGCCTGTTAATTGGAGCTCTATACTTATCAGCTACCTTGTCATATGGATCTTTGATGAGTACTGATCTGACTTCAATTTTTGTGTGTGAATGGTTATAACTTACAGGCTCTTCAATTATGTTCTACTGTTGTTATTATAATATGTCAAATTCATTGTTTTCTCACTAAAACAAGCACCTCATTAGTGTAGCCTGAAGTTCAAACTGCCATTTACTCTTTTTTGAAGTAATTTGACACAAATCATGAAATTAAGCACAATAATAATGTATTTATGTGCTGTGCAAGTACTTTGATACATTCGATAAGTCCTGCATGATGAAGATAATTACCCAGTTGAATTTGGAAAGGTATTGTAGCAGTTTGGAATTACGGTATAATCGTTGCATTATTTAATGGACATGTATATTCATGCTTTCAATGAATTTTGTTCATGAATTCTCCTCTGCCATGTTTATCCTTTGGGAATTTTTGGCTGTGGATGAATTTTTGAGATATTTGAGAATGTTCGAGATTGTCCCTCAAACTATGTGTTGGATGAGAGGACATCTCACTTGGAATCATTGATTTGAGGTATAGAAAAAAATCGGAATAGTCTCTTAAGTTAACCTTTTATGTCTCATTTATATTGTCTTCTTCACTGTCCTGGACGTATGATATCCAACGGAAATTTAGCAAAAGCAGAATGCTCTTCTGCTGTGTTACGCAGAAGTACTTTCTGTTACCTGTGGATCATTGTGATCATTTAAAACAGAATCAGGTCCTTGCTCTGTTCAGGCTATAAACCACACTTAGAGACGTATGGCGTCGGTGTGAGAGTGAAGGATGCAGAGGACGGTACTCTTCAGGTCGGCCCTATCGATGAATTACGCAATTTACCGAAGCCCATGATTCAGCTCGCCAAGGTATCACAAATTTGTGGCTCATGGAGCCCTCTAATATTTATTATTGCTATCAGTTTTTATCTCTTCCCTCCCCTCTCCTCTGTATCATTTCTAAGGTGTACACAGGTCAGAAGTGTCGGACAAAGCTTTACACCTGAGGAAATAAAGGGAATTGTACAAAGTAGTACATTTTCCCTTTATTTTGATTAGCCACGTCAGCACTCAAAAGAGCACAAGACATGACTCAAAAGTTTCAGAGCAGCATGAGACAAGTTTTGATCGGGATCTCTATCGGTGCTTTGGAAAAAGTCAAGTGAAGCTCAGTTACTGGTAGTAAAGTGCGCTTTAGCATATTTATCGGCCAGCAGTAACTGTTTATATTTTTAAACTTTCCTGTAAACTAGGCATCTGACATTAGTTTGAACAGTACATACGATGAATATTGAAAGCAGATCATTTTAATCATGATTTTCTATTTACACCTGGATTACTTACTTGATCTATTTTTAAGCCCATCCATCAATGTTGTTAAAACTTAACATGATTATTCTTTTTTGCCGTTAACAGTTGCAAGCTTTTCCTGAGTAACTGTTGTAATGTTCAAGCTCTTTTTATTTCAACCTCATCAATCTGAGACCCTAAATGAACCCTTTTATGACTCATGAGGAAGGAACATATGTCTTAGATGCTCTGATTTTAGTGCACCAATGGGATAACCAATGCTCATTTTTTAACAGAACTGTCTTATTAATGCCCCAATCAGTTTTCAGCTCTTTTTTTCGTTTCCTTTTTTGCATGCCTACAATGTTTTTAGTAAGTCTCAAGGAGGTTTGGAAAGCTTTCAGCCCATAAATTTCTAGTATTATTTTCTAGTTGTTATGAAGCTATAGATTTCTTGAATTTATTTATTTTCATATTCACGTTTCAATACATTTTTAGAAGTTTCCTTGAAGCAGACCAAGTTTTAATTTCGACGATTTGTTTTCCATGGTCAAACTGCAGTAACATGCTTAGACAGAATATGGTATTTTCATTAAACCTCAATCAACTTCAATTTCTAAACCAGGGAAGAACCAGCCTTCGGAGGTATTTTCTCCCAATGTGTAGTCCTCTCAATATGAGGATGCTCTTCGATTCCCCCCACAGGACTGCTTACTGTTAGTCTTCCTGCCCAAGAACAAGAAAAAGATTTAACACAGTCTCGCTTGTGAACTGAACCTAGACTTCTCTTTTTTCTTTCTTTTTTTGTTCACGCAGGATTTTAGTGAGAAAAAATAGAAGGAGGGAGAGTAAAAAATATTACACCTAATGGTTTAAGCCACCTTTTGCATCCCTAATACTCATTTCATTTTATTTTTTCTTTGACTCGTTTCTTTGTGACATATGTAGTATCAAGTCTAAAATCGTATTTTGTACAACTCATTTCTTTGAGGCTTTTATTCTATACGTAATTTTGATGGCACATCAGAGGCAAAATTTAGTAATTGAAACTTTTTAGATTTCTTGGTGTGAACCCAAATTGAAATGATTAACCCAGCAGATTGGCCACATCTAATTTCAATACTTGCCAGGTTGAGCTTGAACACGATGTTTAATCGACAAACAGAAATTTTACGACTTTAGAAGGGTGAATAGCATTACTGAAATCTGTCAAGCGTTTAAAAATTAGGTGCATCTGTATAGAAAGTTTACCCAATTGGAAATTATAATACGAAACGTATTTACTACTTTTCCAAATCAGGACCATTTTTAAATGTTCTGTTTCTAAGAGAATAAAGTTATATAATTTGAAAAAGTTTTCTTTGATCCATAAAAATTGTACTTTAATTTGGTGTTTTTCTTATTTATTTATTTTTGCCAAGGTAATGTCGAAAATCTGAGAAAAATTAGTGAGTTTCTTTGAGTGCAGCATTGCAAAAGCCAGAATATTATTTTTTTAAAATTAAAACCAATTTTAAAATTCTTCCCCGATTCACAGCAGAACAACACTCAGTCGACTTGATATAAGCAAGCCTTAGTGACAGAATTCAAAAATTTTACAATGACCATCCTTGCTATTTCGTATTATCCCTAACTAGCTGATTCAGCAGGTCACTTCATTATTGCACTGCTCCAGCTTTCAACGAAGGCTAAAATAATACCCTATGTTTCAAAATATTAGTAGAATACTATTCACTAGTTACTCTCTATAGTTGCCTTTGCACTATCACAAGTCAACGTCATTAATACAACTTCCACTATTCAATCCGGGTGATGGTTTTTACAGCTTTAATCTAACTCAGTTAAATTTTCTTCCCTGATCAGATATTTGATGGGTACATCAACAAGGATAATCATCAGCATTGGTTATGCTTTACTGTTCGAAAGAATTCTCTCGATGAGTATATGGTCATCGCAGGTGCGACAAACATTCCTAAAACCACAAAAACGAGAGGAAAACCTGTTGTGAAGCAAGAACCTGCAGAACCAGCCAAGCCTTTTGACCCTGTTCTCCTTGAGCAAATGAAACAGGATGTGACTGGATTATTCAAGAACGTGAACTTCTGCAAACTGAAGTCAATTTATTTGGAAACTGAAAGAGGACGGTAAGGGATGACTGCTAGCTTGTGTTGCCATGTACTTTTGAACATTTCAAAGAATCTTCATCAGTGTGCCCCTGTTTTCATTTAGTTCTATATGAGCACTTAAGATTTATCACTCATTACTTTTAATTTACATCTTCTTACTGGTTTCAATTTGGATGTTCTCATTGACTTAATCATGGCTGTTTCCTTTTTGAAGATTGATTCGTTTGTGTCATAGTTGAATTAGATCCAGTGTGCCTGAATGATCCAATTATTTTTAAATTTATTAGTCTATTAGGCATCCATTAAGATATCCCAGCTCAAGTCCAAAAAGACTTTAAGTCCAATCCATTGTCTGTAACAGCACTATTCAAATGTTGCGAAGCCATTGAAAAATTTTGGCAAATGGATGCAAAAACAGTTAACCCAATGTGTCTCAATTAAACATTTCTTTCTTGTTGAAAACAGCTTAGTCGTCCTGAAATCGGATGAAAGAGGATGTAAGCTTTTCAACGATTTGACCGCTTATTATCAGGTTTGAATCAGTAGTACCACAAATTCCAGCGTAAATTGCGAATGGGGCATTCTCTGCGGACGGGAGGGAAAACTTTTAGTTAACCAGGAACCTGCAGCTAATGCTTGTGAGAATTAAGAATTTAAATAAAGTTATTTTCTATGGTTATGATATTGTCCTACAAGGCAAAGCAAGCAATTTGCTTTAAATTTTAGCCTGAAAGAAAATTGCCTTAAAATGTATATTTGTTTTTGTGATTTTAGGTCCAAGAGTGATCATGATCTTCATCACTTGTGGGGTGAAACCCAAATTAAAGAGAAACTTGGAGATTTAGAAATTGCGATATCCCCATCGACTTTCTTCCGACAAAATAGTTCCGGTACGGAGGTTTTGTGCTCTGTTGTTGAAGAACTTGCTGACCTAACCAGCGAAACAACCTTGCTGGATTTATTCTGTGGCTCTGGCAGCTTATCCTTGACTCTTGCAAAGGTACGATCACCAAGTCATGAACATCATTCAAAATAAAGAGAAAAATGAAAGATAGCATCTTTCAATAACGAAGCCTACTTATTTCTAGTTTACGAAATATGATTGAAGAAAAGTTGAGTAAAAAGTCTTTGAGAACCTAAATTACAAATAGTCCAGGCAAACAAGGAAAAGAGCCTGCAAAAATCCCGGGTAGCAATGTTTTCATCGATTACTATGTAATTTTTGACGCTAAATCCGAATTTCAACTTTGCGCCATTAAATTCGGACCGGAAAGTTGCCAAATTTGGCAAAAATGGCCTAAAATCGGACTTTTTCCCGGATTATGGCCTCTAACTTGCCAAAAATTGATCTGACGATAAAATTAGTTATTTTCAGAAATAAAGCTTGTTAAATTTCCTATAAAAAAGTTCCTATAAACTTTTTTGCTCAAGGCAAAATCAAGCGCGCTAGCGGGCTCCAAACTTTGTAAAATGTGCGAAAATTGCGCATACTGTAATGTGTTGGGTTATCCTTATTATTTACATCAATTAATTTCACTAGGTGTAAATTTTATCATCTTCATTTAATTTGTCCAGAAATTACTCGTCGGAGGATTAAAATAGGAGACATCGGGCAAAAACCGCGAAAAACACAATTTTTGCTCATTTTTGAAAGTTCGGAGCCCGCCAGCGCGCTTGATTTTGCATTGAGCAAAAAAAGGTATAGGAACTTTTTTATAGGAAATTTAACGAGCTTTATTTCTGTAAAAACCTAATTTTATCGTCAGATCAATTTTTGGCAAGTTACAGGTCATAATCCGGAAAAAAGGCCGATTTTAGGCCATTTTTGCCAAATTTGGCAACTTTCCGGTCCGAATTTAATAGTGCAAAGTTGAAATTCGGATTCAGCGTCAAAAATTACGTAGGAATCACTGAAAGCATAACTACCCGGGATTTTTGCAAAAACCGCAAAAAAACGCATTTTTCGTTCATTTTTCGAAGTTCGGTGCCCGCCAACGCGCTTAATTTTTCTTTGAGCAAAAAAGTGTATAGGAACTTGTTTATGGGAAATTTCACGAACTTTTTTTTTTAAAACAACCAAATTGTCGTTAGATCAATTTTGGACAAGTCACAGGCCATAACCCGCAAAAAACCAAATTTTCGCTCATTTTTCAAAGTTTGGAGCCCGCCAGCGCGCTTGATTTTGCCTTGAGCAAAAAAGTTTATAGGAACTTTTTTATAGGAAATTTAACGAGCTTTATTTCTGAAAATAACTAATTTTATCGTCAGATCAATTTTTGGCAAGTTACAGGCCATAATCCGGGAAAAAGTCCGATTTTAAGCCATTTTTGCCAAATTTGGCAACTTTCCGGTCCGAATATAATGGCGCAAAGTTGAAATTCGGATTCAGCGCCAAAAATTACATAGGAATCGATGAAAACATTGCTACCCGGGATTTTTGCAGGCTAAAGCCCTTTTCATGGCTTATTTGCCTGGACTAAAAGTAGTGAGAAATTATTTGTTCATAAATTAAGCCCTCTTATCTATCTCTTGATTATGGAACTATTTGAATGGTATCATGTTGAAAGCATATTGTTAGTTTGGGAATATTCATTTATACGGTCTGCGATTATGACCTTTTCATAGGGTTTTGATGATTAGGGTAGTAATATTATCTGTCTGTAGTTTGTTATATTTTTATTTATTGATTTTATATTCCATTTTCATATTGGCCAACTCCAATACAGAGTAGTTCCTGTCTTTTTTACCTGTTTAATGGTATGGCATATTTATTTTACCACCATCATTTCATATTTTCCCCTCAGAAATGCAAGCATGTCATTGGCGTTGAAGTTTTGGAGTCCAACTTAGAAGATGCCAAGAAGAATGCTGAACTGAATGGAATAAAAAATTGTGAATTCATTGCTGGGAAAATTGAAGATGAAATTGAAAAGATTTTAAGTAACCTACAAGATAAAGAAGTTGTTGTTGTCCTGGATCCTCCTCGAAGCGGCATTCGTAAGTATTTTCTTTTATCCTGTTCTAATTCTGAAGGATATTGCTAGTAAAGGCTCTTGCAAAGTAAGTCTCTATTTATATTAGCTCCAAAACTAATGAAGATAAATGAACTTTAGCTTTCAAAATAAGATTGTTTTTTAATTTGGTCATCCAGTGAGGTTATTTTCTCTGCATCCACCTATTGTCCAAAATATTGGTGCACTGCAGAGCTGTTGAGACAAGCTCATTTTCTCACCTTAACTTGTTCAGTATTGAAAAGTTTCAGGTTTTGAACCGTTTATCTTACTTTTAGACGCAATCTCTACTGTATTGAACTCATTTTTTGTACCATGGCGGCAGTTTGTGGATTATATTCTTAAAATATTTCTTGGAATTTGGCCACTCAAGCCCTTCTCTAACTCCGGGAAAAAATGGTAGGTCTTAATGTACGGTGGATGAAAAACAATATTACATTTGAATAGGGTTTAAGAGTCTTGAGCTACATGCGCCCCATGAGGCATTGTCTCGGAGGAACACAACTTGCCTAAAGAAAAAGCCAGGACATTGTGAACCTATCGCTGGTGTAAGCTTTTAAGAAACTTCACAATATCTTGCTGCATCAATTGTTTTTCCTCTTTCCAAAAAATCAAGCAGAGCAATATTTTCTGGGCATCCCTCATAAGATGAGAAAGTGTGCCTGTTTAGCAAGCTCTGCAGCGCGCTAACATTTTGGACACACATCGGGCGCGGAAAAAATGACGTCACTCACAAACCAATTTACCAAATGTAAAAAGCTAGAGCCTTTCAGAAAGCTAAAAGCATAGCAAATGAGACATCATCTACCGATTTTATTTCTCTTTATCAGTTTTGGAGGTAATATGAGAACATACTTACTCTACGAATGCCCTTCGAATTTCACACTATGAATCATCTTGTCCCAAACGGAAGAGGTAGTGAACATGAAGAAAGGAAATTTTGCTTCAAATTATTTTCTACTTTAGTGAGAGAGTCCTGAAAGTTTCCGCCTTGGGTCAATTTGAATCTCTAATAGTATTGAAGTCAAGAAATGTTTTTGTGTTACAATCTATCTTGAGGGATGACACTATGATCTATTGAATAAATGTGGTACTTACGTGCAAAAAGGAAAGGATAATACTATCAATACCAATGTGCACCTTTCTAACAGAGTTTCAGGTGAGGCTGCAGTGCTTTTATGCAAGTTTCAATGTCTAGAAAGAATTGAGTGTAAGAAAATTAGTTAAAGTTGTCACCAATTTTCTTAACCTATAGAGGAGAACTTCGGCAAATTTTTTGAACTTGGTTTCATCTTACTTCTTTGTTTCGCTTTTCATGGGAAAGAATGGGAAGACACTTTCTGTTTTTATTACTTATTTGCAGGGATAGTTTTCCGAATCTATTCCCTCGCCTGTACCTCATTCTCGAATAAAATATTTGGCAAGTTGTGGTGAGCTAGACCTAAAATTAGAAGAAAGGCAATCAGATGAATTGAAATTGTTGCTGCAATGGAAAATTCCAGTGATTTTAGCCAGGAAGACTCGTGTGTATGAGCACTGTGATGTCCCAAATTGTTTTTGATATCTCGTTTTTCTCTAACTCAAACATTTCTTGTTTCAGATGCTCGAATTGTACATGCCCTGCGAAACTTCGCTTTCTGCAAGCGATTTGTGTACGTTTGCTCGAACCACAAATTACCCTTCAGAAATCTTTTGGATCTAAGTTCGGTCATTACGGAGCCCAAACCAAAGAACAAAGCATTTGATACTGATCCTTTCCTGCCCGTCAAAGTGGTACCTGTTGATATGACTCCTCACTCGCTTCGCTCTGAATTGGTGATACAGTGTGATCGCCAGCCAAAAGATCAGTTTAAAAGCATTGAGGAACCTAAGAGCACCCCTGCAACTGAAACAACAAAAGTGGCTGCAAAGAAACCAAATCAGCAGCAGCAAAAGAAGAAGGTTGCTTCGCCCGAGAAGAAGTTTATTCCTAACAGAAACAGCCTTAGGGGAGTTGGTGGAATTAGAGGAGTACGCGGAATGAGGGGAATGCGAGGAATGGTTGGCATGCCAAGAGGCAGCATGGCAATGCGTGGAGGTCCCCCCTTCAATAGTGCCCCATATCCTGTTCCACCTAGAGCTCCTAACCCAGGCCCACCTCGTGCCAACTTTGAAAGACCTGCGATGAACAGTGCTATGTATTTGGATTCTATCAGAGATATTGAAAGAAGAGCATATGAAGAAGGCCTTGTCAAGGGGCTAGAAAGGAGTGCCTATCAAATGGGGTTAGCTCAAGGCATGAACAAACCTGCTGACAAATACATGGATTGGGAAAGTCCTGCTGAAAGACGCCAACTGGAATTGAGCAGGGGTGATTCCTGGAGCAGTCCACCAAACCCAAGGGGTTGGGACAGAGAAGCGGGAGGCAGTAAATGGAACTCAAGTTCAGCCTCTAGTGATCGATTCAGAGACCCGGCTCCAAGCCCATGGAGCTCTGATTACGCTCAAAACAGTTCTGGTTTTGGAAGTTCATCCTCAGGATTCTACCCAGAGCGAGCTGCGGCAAGAAGCTGGGGCAGCTCCACTCCCAGTGACTTTGGTTTCTCTAGAAATGCCAGTTCTTCAGCCATGAAAGTCTGGGATACAGCCCCAAGCACGAAGAATTCCTTCGGAGACTCTTTCGGAGGCAGTCCTTGGTCTAAGACTTCTAGTTTCTCATCCAGTCCATTCAATGGAGAAGCCAGAAGGAGTGCAGGATTCAACTCTAGTATGAACAGCTCTTTTGGCGCCGCACGGAACACGAGAGGCGGAAGTAATGTCAGGGGAAACAAGCCAAGAGGAGGCACAGGCGGCAACTTTAGAGGTAACAAAAGAGGCCGAGGAAAATTCTAATCGGTTCAAAATGTATTGTAATTTTACTCTCTCATGAATCTATTGTATTACACTCTCTGTTGCAAAATGAACTCAGTTATCAGGAGGTAGAGAGACAAAGAAAACAATCTATTTTCTCTCATTGGTTGATTTATATTTCGCAAATAGCCATCTTTTTCCCTCCTTTTTTTATCCGTAGGACTTGAAGCAGTTCTGAACAATCACTGAGTAAACTGTGCTTCCTATACATTCTTTCAAAAGATTTTAATAAATGCATGAATCTCTTTTAAGTCACCATGTGTTTTATCAGTAATGTACTCAGTTAAAATTATTCAATCCTAAATTCAAGCCCGCCGATGCTCCCAGTTTGCAATGCATTCAGGCTTTTTTTGGCAACTGCTCTCCAGAACTTGTTTTATGTTAAATTCTAATTTCCCCAAGTGTTTTTCAATAACAGTTGCAACATCTTATGGAGGAATCTTAAGGAATGAGAATATAATATAATAATCCTATTTCCTCAACAATCTCTCCTTCTAATCATCGTAGGCCTCACTAAAAGCAGGGAATATTTAGAAGGGGCTTTTTCGAATATTTAAGCAGGAGAGACCTCAGAAACCTGCGCAGTCTGCAATCATTTTTATTCATGTTTAAACTTAATTTTTTATAGGATACTTAAATTATAAGATTATTATTTATACATAAATATGATTATTATTTATATACCCACTCAATTTAACATATTTTTTTTCCAATTCTATATTTTCAAATCCTTCACTCCTCTGTACACAGGTTTGCAATATCTTTGCAACATTCCATCTGCTGTATTTCGTAAAATTGTAATCAAAGCTCAGATCAAGTAAAGAATGCTTCTTTATATATATATATATTGGAATCATTGATTGATTATCAGTTTTTTTGTCCAATTCTGTGATTATACTTTTTTGTGTATTGTGACTCTTTATTCCATTTTTTTAAATTCATAAATTATGATTTCGAAAACTTGAAAAGGTATTTGATCATCAACTTGTGAACCTGCTTTAAAATTTTGCAACCATTCAAGTATCTTGGGGCAAGATTGCCTCTTTTCTTTTGTTGAACTAAGTCGGTTGCCCTTTGAATTGTTTAAATCATTTTTTTTTTTTATTATTTTGATTAATACATAACATTTTTTACACTCTTATTCTGTATTTTTGGAAATGCATTAGCATTACTTGATGTTCTGTAATTAAATTAAAATACTTAATAAAGCTTTTGATTGCACCTTCTCTCTTCTTATTGAATCCCTCATGGTGTAAGATTTTCCGGTTCTCTTATGATGCACATATTGCCATAAATTTATGAACAATTTGTACTCTATCAGAGAAACGGAAGTTTAACCTATAAACTCCTGACTGCTTCAAAAATCTAAATTTCTGCTAAGCAATGTTTCAGTGTTTATAAATAATCAGGTCTCGGAAAAAATTCAAATACTAAAATTAAATTACCCTACACCATAATTGGAGCTGGAAAAGTCACTCTTGTGAGAGAATAAGAAGATTTAACAAGAGGAAAAGTTCAGTAACTTCGCATCACAACTAAAAAATGTTTTCTCGCCAAATTTCTCTCAGACCATGGGAAACGCACTTACAGTTACTGATTGAAACATGAGCATTTTTTGAGTTTATAAACTCGTACCCCGCTCTTGCCAAACAAACCAAAGCCTAATTGGTTGTAAATGGACACCACACCAGTTTCAGTATGTTTCATTGATATAATTTCCTCAAAGTGTTAATTTTTCTTTGCAAGTTAGCAAGCTTTAAAGATATTTCGAAAAGCTATTTCTGGTTGTTAGCAGAAGCTTTCAGGGTAGCTTATAAGATCCTTGATAAAATTTAAGTTTCACTAACTGGTTATGTGCACACTAAACATAAATCGCTGTGCTCTAGGTTCATATTTCTCCATTGAATCATGTTTTCCACATATTGTATGAAATTTTAATGAGGAAAAATGTAATGATATTCAGTAGTTCTCATCCTACTTGGATGGCATTTAGCAAAAAGGAACCTATGTGATTACAGTGTTGTAAAAATGTTGCTTCTTCAGAACTATCTAAAAAATCTACCCCAATAGCAAATAGTTTTTTCTTTCCACCAAAAAATTGTTAATTCTGAAGAAAAATAATTGTGTAAATTAGAATACTTTACATATACATGAAGTATTTCTAAAAGAAAAGAAGATGCACAATTCTGAAAACACTGAAATTGTGATGGTTCCTTTTTTGCTAAATGCGATCCACTTGGGGGTTCCGTTTTCATTTCAGATTTAGCAAATCAAAATCGGTTTCCAATATACTTTAGCTATTTTATTTTATTTTATTTTTTTCTTGAGATACAAATAGGTGAAACCCATTAATGCTTAACGCAAATTAATTATAATAAATGTTTCTTACTTTCATAAGAATGCACAATGATTGCACAGGAAAATACATATCACTCATTTTACAAAATAGGTATATGCATGGTAGGTTTTAGAATTAAATACTTAGTCTCTTTTCAGAGAAAGAAGAAAACAGGCGTTATACACTCCAATGAAAAGCTATTTTAACTGGCCCAAATAAGTCTTAAATAAAAAAATCTACAGGGTAAATCAATCTTTGGATAACAGTTACACAAAAAAGGGATGAAGAGTGTCTTATTGTAAAAGAAAGAAAAAAAAAAAAAACTTTTCAGAAAAGAATAATCACTACTAATGTTCTCAATATGTATGTCTCAGGTGAAATTTCAAATTGAAGATACATAGGGGTAACGTGTTTGAGTGATTGTGAAAATAGGTACCTATATTTCACTACCCCCATTGAGGTCAAGAGCTCACTCTATCACCAGACAGAGTTTCCCATCATTCTCTAACTAAAAAAAATTGTGATAGACAGTGTCTTAAAATACAATTTGATTAAAATGGCAGGCTACATTAGTCATTCAGTAGAAGTATAAAAGATGTATCTATCAAAGAAACTGTGGAAAAGAGCCAAAAGTGGATATGGCTTTGATTACATAATTTTATTTGATTTACATGAAGGAGTCGATTCAGACGAGACAGCTGGCAAACATAATACTTGAATAGTTGGAGAAAAAGCAGGCTGCAATAATTTATTGTACCTACTACATTCATCTCTGGTACTCAGACCTTATGCATGGGCAGAAATAAGAACTTTGGGGGGGGGAGGGGGGGGGAGTCCGAAGGACTTCTCGCCTGGTAGGGCCTGGGCGACACTGAAACACCCTTTTGAGGGCGATTTATAGGGATCCTCCAGCTGCAAAGGAGCGGTATGAGGAAATTCCTAGTCTTGTAGGAGGTTGGGGGTCCCAAAAATTTTGAAAAATTGAGTCTCCGGACGATTTTGAGCTGTTCTAAGCAACAAATCGATTGAATTAAAATTTCGAGGGTAAAAAATATATCACTCGCTTATTTAGTAAAATGACCTCATGCTGTAAGTATCTGATTTTAGAAGTTTCACAAACTTGAAGAAACTTACTTAGTGTGGAAGAGGTAAGTGCAAATTCAAACGGCACATTTGCTTGAAGTCTCAAGACTAGGGGACACTGAATCATGCTGATGTTACACATGCATGATGACATACTAGTCGAGTCATACAACACTGAGTATCATTGGCATAGAGTTAGGTAGCGACTGACATTCCTATGAGCAATGAGCATACGATGCATGAGCTCCACCTTCAGTAGCCCATTTTTACAAACAATTATCGATAAAAAATTTTAAAATAGATCACAAGGTTAAGTTTTTTGATAATTATACGATTATTAAGTTCACTCATCAGAATACAATGCATACCTGTGACATAATATATTTTGTTAGTACAATATTTTAATTATTAAGAATACTTAACAAAAGCTATTACTTAAATGAAATTTTTGGTGACTTTTCGGGACATCTGTGCGGGATTTTTTAAGCAAACTTCAAGCTCAAGCTAATTGTTTTGATTCGTTTTGCGGTAAAAATAAGAAAAAGGAGAAAAAAAAAAGAAGGAGAAAAAACCTCAAGGCACTGTACAAAAATTACAAAGATGATACAGTTAATGTTTGTTAGCTGATCAATGTAAATATACAGTGACATGAATTTCATTAAAAATCTAACTAATATATTTCCATTCCCCGATGTCACCTGATCCAAGTTTTGGCTCCTGTACTTTGTTTGAAAAATAAAAATAACAACGCCAAACTAGGTAATAAGACCAACTTTCCTGAGATGACTGTGCATATGAAGTTGAGGTAGTACGTTGAAGGGTTCTCTTGATTTTTTCATTTGGACAAGTTGATAGATAACTTTCCATAGGTGACTCATTATAGAGAAGGGTAGTTAGTATTTCTGACTGATAATTCTCATAGATTATGTGACCAATGTTGCACGATCTTTTTTTAAAGCCATGGGTAATCAGAGTTGGGAAAAAGTTATGCAGAAACTATGTGGTCAATCAGAAATGTCCGATCAATGGTCAATGGGACAAATAATTTGACGATTGATCTATCTTATCAGGGAGAGAATTCTGAGGACCGAGCGTCTGGGCAGTGTTGCCGCACCATTTTCAGTAATTGCCGAATTATTCACGCCCGACCCTGTAGGTAATAGATTCATTAAATACACTAATTGCAACCTGATTGAGGGATTGCTCCAATTGAGATTTACAAAACATTTGACGTACTATGCTGTAACACAGTTTTAGCTAAAGTCAGGTTCAAAGTATGTAATTTTTTCTCTTTCATACTATTTTACAGACGATTCTTAAATATCTTTCCAGTTTTTCATTTTATGTCTGTTACATTTGTTAGGTCCAAATATTGTCGCTTAAAATACAATATAACTCCCTGACAAACATTTTAGAAATTTTGCACTTTGCAACTGTTACATATTCTAAAGTATGAAACAGACAGCTGGATTGTTTCTTTGAAATAATTTTCTGCGTAACGGCTATTTCGTAGCAATTTGAAGATTTTTGCTAAAACTATCATTGGTTAGAAAAAAGCCTTGCTTGAAATCTATTGGGGAGGAGGAGATGAGGAATAGATAATACACAGAGAGTATGCAATGTATAAGTCAGGCGTTGATCTAAAAAAGACTCGTTCCAGTATAAATCATAAGTAAAACAATTAAATTTAATATTTGCAGGTAAAAAAAAAAAGGGTTCCCACCAAACAATAAAAAAACTGTCTCGGTACCTTTCACAAAATTCCCATAGCCAACTAAGACAGCAGCCTCTGATGTTGAGTTATTAACCTTACAAAGGCTCTTTGAAAGAGCACATTCAAAAATAGTTTACAAACATTTCAGAATTAATTATTTCTACACAACACTTTGAAAGAGCTCCCGATGAAAAACTAGAACTCTGCGACACTTATGATAATCTTTGATGAGGGACTTTAAACCTTTAATTTTCAGTGCTTTCATGTAAAAGGCACAAGAGATGATACCCAGAGAACCCCTTTACACCTTTGGATGTAACGCAGTATTATAGCTTCTGTTACACCTGTTTGATTTGTAATATAATATGCAGAGCATTTTTATACAAATTGCTCTATGATCTCAAATCCAAGCAGAGAGAGAAAAAAAATGTGTATAATATGTTATGTACTATGTTTTCAGCTTTTTTAATATGTGAACTGTCATATCAGCCCTTTAAACTATACCTTAAGATTTTTCCAGAGCACTACCATTTATTTTAATTCTCGAATCGAGACAAAAAAAAGCAAAATCATACATACAGTGAGATACTGCGGCGGACCCTTCAACATTTCAACTTTTATTGACACAAGGTACAATGTTACTGTGCAATTTTCTCCATATGACATGACTGATGGTGAAACAGCAAAAGAACGTACCTTGATTTTCAGAGGTTTTTGTTACCTACACAAATAATCTATAAAACATTTCTTTTGTCTCCCATCAAAATATTTCATCTAAAAAATTGAGGAGTTTCCCAAAAATGTAATTCAATTTCCATGTGTCCCAGCACCGACTTCCTGAAAACATATTTTTAAGTTGGCTTCTGTGTAGTTCTATTAGGCCGACTTAGAGCTTTAAATAATACTAAGGTCTCGTATCCCAGGATATACATAGTGTCTGTTCTTAGTGCAGAAAATGCAAATCTTGGTACTTCTGTCAGATTTCTAGACAGTACAAGAAACTGTTCGAATTGCTAATTAAGTCTGAAGAAACTTCTTATCCTGGCTATACTCAAGGATGATTTCCCTTCCATTGACAATGATGAGGTATGTGAACAGTTTTTTGCTCTCCTGGAAAATCGTGTTTTTTGAGATACACACTTTTGCTGTTTCACAATTGGTATAACAGGTCATTAAATGGAAATAAGCATTAGCAAGTGATGTGTCAGAGCCAAAATAGTACGACTTTTAATCGACTACACGTCCTATATTCGAGTCATGATGGTTACAAGATACAGATCAGTCCCAAAATCGTGTATGAACTGCTACTATACAAGACAGTTTTGCATTCTTTTGCCTCATTTTGGACACTTCCCAAAAATTTACAGTAGAAAACCGATATCATAAAAATCAAACAAAATGATTTACAATCAACAGTGCAGACTCAAAACTAGACAGACTTCATCTCCATAAAAAATTCTAATATTTACAAAATTTACGCAGCAATTTTTAAAAGAGAAAATTATTTTTCCTTGAAGAAAATAATCACTACCTCCTGATTCAACTTTGAAAAAAAAAAAAAAAAGATTAAAAATATCTATTTCACAAAGCATGATTAAACTAGAGAAGATGGAATAGAAAAAGATACATAAGAAGAGGCAACTGTGAACAGGTATACATTTCTGATTATGAGTTACTGCTATTCACAGTCAAAGGTTGTACTTGTTCAATCTCTGAGTGCACTAATGTAACATTCGGTCTATCCGATTTGAATTGCTTGATACCCATCGGAGTGCAGCCACAGCCTGTTATATCTAAATATTCTAAAGATGGCATACATTTGGCCGCGTGTTTTAAACTTAAATCAGTCACTGATCGATAGTTTCTTAAGACTAAAACTTGAATTCGATTGCCATATAGGTCATTTCCATATTGAAATCCCATGATTGGTAAGAGAGAAGCACGAAAACCTGGATGTAAGGGGTCAATTAATACCCTCTCTCTTGAACCGAATGCTGTAACTGTCCGATCACTAATATCACAGAAGGGACCTGATGGATCGTTGTTGACAGGTGCTTCCAGGTATAAATGCGTTAAAGATCTTGTTTTATTAAAACAAGACACTTCACTGTCTCCCATTGGGGTGAGCCGCAAATCCAGCTTCTGCAAAAATATCAAAAAAAATGTTTAGATGATGGAAGTTATAAAATGCCCGAGACTGAAAAAAGCAACTCGCAGAATAAATTAAAAATTTTAGAAGAAAAGGTTTCAGGAGAAATTTCGAGAGAAGTTGGAAATTTTAAACATTTTGTCATTCAGTACAACTAATTTACTCACTGCTGATGAAAGTTCAAGCACGTGTATCTCATTTGCACTTTTTCAAAATTACTGTATTACACAAGATTACAATAATACCAAAAAAAAAAAAAACTTAAAAGAAAAAAGCATGTAAAAAAAAACACAAAAATTGAAAATAAAATGTACCTGCAGGGCTCCAAATCCAAAACTGGAGGCAAGACTGGCATATGGTACACAGTCTCCCATTTCTTTGCATCCCTGGAGCCGCAATTCGCGAAGAGAATGGCACTTACTGATTGCCAGTAAAGAGTGAGGAACGAACCAACTACAATATGACAGATCTAAAACCTGAAATGAAAGAAAGTGAAAGGATAAACCATTAATCTGTAAAAAATTTCAAAAGACACTCCGTGGAAGACAGAGGAACAACTTCCAAGTTGTAAAAAATAAGTAATATTACTCAAAGAATTTTTGAATAGGTTCCTCTTTCAAACTACATATTCATTCAATTATTTATTTGAAGTGAAGTCAAAAGTTTAACCATGAACAAAAGGTGCTTTCACTAGTTTTGTCTAATTGGCGCTGAAAAAGAAGACATATTTAGCCAGAACATGATTCATTCATGAAGGTATCGTCTAGGGACATTAATGACATGGATTTAAGTGTATTATTTGAATGTTTTGCTGATCGGCTTGACATCATCTTGGGGGTCTGTTGATGATGTCATCAGAGGGTTTCCGTACTCACATTATCAGAGGCACCCCTTAATGACATTATTTGGAGCTTGTGTTAATAATATCATCTGAGGGGACCATTAACACTGGTTTGATGGAGAAAACACAAATATGACATCATTTGTACACTAACTTCCATAATGATTAGTGTCAAAAATACTTTTTGATATCTCATCTCATTCAGGAGTTAATTTCTACACTTTCCGTTATTTGAATTGTTCACTGCATAATATTTTGGGAAGAACACACATAACGTTTTTTCTGGTTCAGATCTTGTCTGATGCCCCATTGGGCAATACTGCATAAAGGAACATTAGACACACAAAAGAGGGTGTTAGAAAAAAATTTATGGGAATACTTACAGTCAAATTTGGCAGATATTCATCTATCTTTGAGAAATAGGAACAAGTACTTGGCAAATTGATAACGCATGAATTCCGCAACGATACAGAGCTCAGAGACTGTGGGAAATGTTCAAAACGTACCTGGCACCGAGAATAAAAAAGTAACTTTTAAAAAAGTAACTCTCTGATAATACTTCAGACTTGTGCTTTCTATTACCCTTCCACTCATTGAACTGTACAGATTTGCTTTGGATAATTTGAAAAATTTCCTAAAACTTTCTAATAAAGAATCCTCAATAAAAAACTTAAGTTGAAAGTTGTCAGCAAATCAAGGATGCTGCTATACTGGGAAAAATACTGCATCGCAATAGATACCTGAAAAGACAATGTTGCTATTTACATCATAAGCCTCAACTTGGCAGCTTGACAGTTTAAATTAAGCATGTCACATAGGTAAAATACGGAATCTAATAAATGAGGGGTTTAAGGGCAGAAAATTGACTTTCCCGACTTTTTTTGACATTTTACTCAGAAATGCCAATGACTTGATATTTTGCCCGTTTCCTGCTGTCTTTTGTGCTAAACACCCTGACTAAAATGATCATTTCATTAAAAAACAATAGGAATAGAGAGACCAGCCAATGCACTTGCTAGCAATAGGTCGTTATGCTTTTATTTCAAAGTCAAGAGCTGGTTTTGCTGAAATGCACACAGGACACTCATCCATAGGCTATCATCTAAAAGTGTTTTTTGTACAAATTGAAAAAAAAAAAAAAAAAAAAAAAAAAAAAAAAAAAAAAAAAAAAACTATCAAGAGGTCATTCTATTGAAAAATAAAAACTTAAAATAGATAAATAATGATAAATTCCAGTACCTTTTTAGCATCAATGTAGCAATATTCCACAGAAAGTTCCTCAAGCTTTGGACACCTGAGGGCTAGAGAAGCCAAAAATTCTGAAGATAGAGTTGAAATGTCTGTGAGGTTTTCATCACAATCCCCTGACGAATTAGACACTGTGGTATTTTCTGCAGTTTTTTGGGACTCATTATGCAGGAGGCCTTTGATTTGAATACTTTTAGTCGATGGAAGAAGGAACTGCAGATAACTGAGTAGATCCGCAGCTGAAACACCATGAGTAGAGAAATCGACCTTCTCCCATAAAGTGAAATCTTTGCAGACTCTTTGTAATCTTTTGCAACATCTGAAAAACCAACAAGAAGTCAAACAATAAATAACATCAACTTGCAAGGTCAATTTGAAATTTTAAGATAAGCCGCATCACCCTTTGGAAATCAAATAGATCCTAACAAACTGACACAGAAGTCAAGTCACAATGAATAGCTGGGTCTCAACATTGCAAGAACACTGCATTAAAGTACACCGCGATGACTCCAAACTATAAAATTTCTTATTAAAATGACAAAAAAAGAATTAAAACTGTAGTCCAAATACTGTAAGAAGCAGGATGCTACAATAGTCCTTGGTCCACACTATTCTGTGGGTAAATCAAAGCCAAATTCATAATTACAGGCATAAATTGAGCTTAAATGAGTTTTAGTGCAAGGCTGAGGGATAAATTTCAGCTCTAGCAGATACATTAGAATACTACTTAAGCTAAACACTCTGCTTCATCATTATTGCACTGAAACTCATTAGAGCTCAGTTTGTGGCTTCAATTGTAATTTTTGGATTTTTCTGGCTTTGATTTCCCTGCAGATTAGTGTGGAGCCAGAACCATTCTAGCAATGTGTTATTTATTTTAATGTCACTAATAAATCAATGCCAATGCCACAGTCAACACTATCCTCTAGGGTAGGTCTGCATCCTTTTCTTTCAAATGATTCCCTTTCAGTGCACATCAAAATTAGTTTTATTCATGATAACTCTTTTGGTTTTACTCGGGGTATTTATTCATCTGTTTTATTTTCTCCTCAGTTCAATTTCATTGAATAATCAAAGTAGAGAAATTTTTCCTTTCAAAGATGAGAGATCTGCATAACCTCTGTATTTAAAGATATTGCTGTGAGTTGTGCACGATTTTTTCAATGTGACACTGACGCACCTAGACTGAGTGGGCCTTCAGGTGGGAGAGAAAAGAATGAGATAACTAAACTATAGCTTGGAAGGGTTAATCCTCCATCATTGGGCACAAAAACACCCAAACATTGATCCTCCAACAGTTATTCGAAGTTCAAGGACAAAACATGGAGAATTAGAGATAAATACTATTAATATTCGCCGGCGCTGTTGCGAGGCGGATAAAAAATAGTGGTCGCATTTCGTTACCACCACTCCAAATGAAGTCCAGAGGAAAGTGCTATTTTTAGGTATTTACTTTAAAGTTCAGAATAAAAAACAATGATTTGTTCCAAATCTAAAATATAATTTATGCCAAAAAAAATGTTCAAGTGAGAAAGATGATATCGGCATACAAAATAAAGTGACTACTATCCTAATCTACTTATCTTATCCAAAACCTAACCTGACCTTGAGACCCATTTTGCTTTGATGCATAAAAAGAAAATGCCTTGAGGGCATACATAGCTTACTTTGGTAATAACACTGGAAAAGACACCAAAAAAAAGAAAAATAGCTTTAAATACAGAAACTGACGACCCACCTGCTTACGGAGATCAAATCAATCGGTTTCAAATTTTTTAAGATGAGCAGCAAAACATCGTCTGAAAATGACATGAAATTGACTTCACCCGAACTTGGTTGATCTTTCTCTTCATTCACAGCTTTTGTTTCACAAATTTTTTTGGTAACTGGCTCGATACAGTGGTTGGATGACAAAAAATTACCGTTACAGACTAAATTTGATTCCTCAGCTCCAGAGGAATCATCCAGCTTGATTCGCTTTGATTTACTGCACTCGGAATCGGACATTTTAAGTCTGACTGGCAATAAGTACAGAGAATACCGCACCAACAGCAAATTACCTGAGAAAAATTTTTTTAAAAAAATAGGATGATATTATACAGTACTCAGAAGCAGTTTTTGTTAAGTGAATCTATGCCCATTGCTGGAGCCAATGTGTGGTGAGTGTCCTATCCAGTATACATAAATTTCGTCGAAACTCCTTTATGTCGATTGACCAACAGGCATTTTTCCTGATGTTCCCACCTGCTAGTCTACCCTTGGAAACAATCAGCAAGTTTTCACTTCAAAGTCAGTCTCCCAAAAGGTGTGCAGGAAGGATGTTTCATATTAAACAAGGTATTTTGGATAGGGCGAGTGGTCCTATCTGAAACTGTCTCCACACCTTTATCATAAAGAGATTGTACCGATTTGATTCCATCGCAACTAAAATGACTGACTATCAACTCAGACTAGACTTCATGCACCATTATACCGTGCAGATTGAAAGAGCCAGGTTAATCACGTGAGCCTTGCTTGTGGTTTGGTCTCATATGTATGATGTCCAACGTAATGTATCTTAATGATATGTTAAGAAGTGAGAAATATTAAGCTATCCACTCATCTGCCAAGGCATTCGGTAGGAATATGCAATAGTAGATTCAGTCTGTGGGTTGAATTGGTAGCGCCACTAGATGTAACAATAGGGGACAAAAATAGAGAACGCCTAAGCATTTCTGAGGATTTACTTTCCTCTATCGAACTGGCAACAAAAGTGTTTGTCTCTGCTAAGAGTTGACATTCGTTGCAAACAAGCTATTGAGAGAATCCTCAAGACAAAGATATTCTCCTTGGTCGAAGTCTAATTACAGTCTCAGGAGTGCTATATTGACAAAGACTATTTCTTCCAATGATAAATGCACTCATTGTTTGAATGGATAGATGTAACAGATGAATTGGCAAAAGTAATGAGGTAGCTCAGGAATGAAGTTAATATGAACATGAACCTACTTACCCTGATTTACGCACGTTCAGAGGATTTCTCTTCACATAACTGAACATCACACATAGTTTGTTAGACTATTGTGAGATCGGAGAAAGTGATAGATGAATCATTAGAAATAAAACCAGGATGAAATTACAAACTAAAAATCCAAGAGGATGGAAACTCAGCTGTCATTCAACTAAACAGCAGTTCACTCCCAAACACTCAAAAAGGATGAGTTGCAACATACGGTACGGTAGCTTTTCGGCATTCACCTGCTGGAACGCATTGGTTATTTTCACGGAGAATTTTGATAGACTATTACTAAATTCACAGTCACTAGAACTTGGCTAAATTCATAAATATTGAACGAGATAACAAAACAAAACAATGAAATAGCCTACAAAATTGATAAATGGGATATGAATGGCGATGGAAGGGAAGGGAGGGTAATGTTTGTGATAATTGACGTCACTACTCAGTACAAACAACGAAATAACAAATTTCAGCTTTTTCTATTGGCCAAATTTAGGGTGATCTACATGACGTCATTAAAAGTGTTAAAATGGCGGATGCTTTCTTGGAAATGTTGTTTGTTGTTAATGTTGTTATCGCAATCAATTCCTTGTTGCACTGATTACAATGTTGTGAAAACGATTCCACGACTTTTAGTGACAATTATCATTTCGTTATCAGTTAATTATCCTCAAGCCAATCGAAGTCATCTCATAAAATCCGTACCGCCTAAATTTGCAGTCTTACGCGGCGCGGAAATTCTTCAACTAATCGTTCTGCCCGCATCAAATGCCACCCAGCATGCGAATTTAAGTTACTTACCTTTTAAAGTCTGAATTTCTGCAATGATGGATGGAAGTGAAGATCGTGTCGCTGCTTCTGCAGGTTTTTGTACTTTTTATCATCTGGCCTAACTTAATCGCCTAATCTTCACTTTTTATTTTTAGTTTCTGTCCTGACACTATGATCACATGGACCAAGTTCATCCGAAAGGAATCAACCCACATTAAGTTGAAACTGAGAAAAAGAGGTTTGAAGTTTTATTCCTGCATAAGGCATTAATGCAGAAAATAAAATTTAACCCCTTTTTTCACCAATTACTTGCTCTTCTTTGACTTTCAAATTTTGACAGAGGAAATAAACAACTACTCTCAAGACATTCCTAACTCAATTTTTTCGTAATTGTGGATTGGTTTCTTTCTCATAAACTTGGTCCCCATGGGGTTGCGTTCATCAAATATCAGTCTATGAATGCACATACTTACATGCCCAGTAGGATGCATGAATGAGGTACTAAGATTTACCCCTTAATTTTGGGTAAGAAGGATGATTAATCTAAATTTAGCACTGACAAGTGTATTTTCTCATCTCACTTAAGTTTTGGAAGAAAATTCAGGACTTTGTCCTTGTCAAAGTAATGTGGAAATCTTGAATAAAACAATCAGGGATGCAGAAATACAACAGACAAGGCCACAATCTAGTGTTATACTTGTATTTCCTGCGGCTGTCTCGTTTAGCTTCATATTCTTTCGTGCGGAAAGTTTCTTCTTGCTGCATGTATGAAATTGAATGTGTCAACCCAGTCTTTTTTAGTTCTTTTTCTAATGCATCTTTTTCTTATACTTACAGTGGCTATGGAATCAGCCTCCTCTGAGGATTATGAAAGTGATGCCGAGATGCCAGTTGCCACAACTTTCGATCGTACTTTGAGCCATCATCACTCTGTGAGTTGATATCTCTACCTGGCACTTTTTACATAATTTGTCCATGACAGGTACAACTAAAATTAGGTACCTACTGACCTCTTCAAATGACTATACTACTCCCCTGGAAATTTTAATTCCTCCTGAACTTAAGCACAACTTGTATATTTTAACAACTTTGAAGCAATTATTGTTTTAGTGTTCATTTTTGAAATCATCCTATTACATGATTCTCTCCTAAATTCTTTAACTAACTGTCTAGCCACCTGGTTTATAAGATGCAACTTTTGAATGGTAAGTAGAATTAATCCGTCCGGAAAGGAAGAACGTAGGAAATCATAATGTGCAATCATTAATTTTCTGGTATAAATGTTATACGTCTCAGAAAAGAGATATATATTGATTTTTTGGCATTGGAAGCATTAAAAGATGTTCCGCCAATGTTATTGTTTGGATTCAATTCGATATAATGGAGAATTCCTATGATGACGTCGCCACTAATAGCGTCTACAGTCAGTAAGTAGCCTTGGAACCTTTGTAGCCTTGGCATGAGTTACAGCTCAAGAAGTGACATCAAAGTATTTCCATTTCTGTATTTTTTTTTCTCATATTTCTGATTTCTTCTAACGAGTATAACTCAATCAATACTTATAAATTTATAAATCCTTTTTTCAGTATCTAGGTGAAACAGAAGTCTTACGAGGGCGGACATTTTATGAGGATGGAGTCATAGTCTCAATGCCACTGTTGAATTTTGAACACATCGTAGTGCCAAATCAAATTTTCCCACTAACTGTCTTTGAAGACTATTTCAAAGACTTGCTTTTGCATTGTATTGAAAATGATCATACATTTGGTGTGATTAGTGGAAGGTAAGTTTTTCATTTTTAAAACCTGTCCATAAAATTGCAGGGTAAATAGATAGCTTTTTTTGTTTTGACCATGCTTTGAAATGGAGACAGGCTTGTAGTTTATCACTACAGTCGCTACAAACTACAAGGCTCATTCCATTCCCACCCAAATATTGAGTCAATCCAACTTTTAGTTAACTCGGACGAGATCAGACGCCTCAAAAGCGTTAAACTTTGGGAATTAGCCAGCCCCGTGGTCTTTCCCAAATTTTATATTCATATATTATTCAGGTAATTGAGTTACAAGTTTCTTTGTTGCTTGTATAATCTCCTTATTCATAATTTTAGAAAAAATGTGTATAATTCTTTACAAGAAGTTTACAATAAAGTTGTATTTAAAAAAAAAAAACTACTTACTGAAATGAAAAATGTTGACAATACACCAATTGGATTGCATTTTGCAAAAATGAACCGAGAGTATTCCAGTGTCGCTAAGATTGTGCAACTTTTTTTACCTTGCAAATATGAACTGATCATTTAAACTAGTTTTATCTCTACCTCCGATGAACCATAATATTGAGACCAAAATTACTTTTGTGAATTTAACTTGCTTGGTTTTAGTAGTTTTAATGCAAAGAATGTAAGTAGTGCAATCTTAGCAACATTGGATTGATCTTGGTTCCTTTTTGCAAAATGCAATCCAATTTGACATCAACAATTAGCAAGACTTATGTTATATAGGTACTTAATCCTCAACAGTTTTTTAACCAAAATTTTGAAATGGTAGTCACTTCTCGCTGCATTGTTGAGGATAAATGCCCATCCTCTTTTTTCCTTTCTTTCCCTGGTCTCAAATAGCTCTAAAAGGCTACCTCCATCTGACAGTTATGTAACTTACATTTTTTTTTTCATATATTTATTTTTTTCATTTATTTATTTTTTAATGTATTTCTTTTTTTCATTTATTTATTTTTTTTATTTTGCTCATGTAGGATTTGCTATTGAGTTGAGGCATTGAAATTTTACGCATCAATTTTCAATGGATAGCGATTGTTTCAGATTAGCTGTACTTCCCTCATCAAATTAGTGCAATAAAAGAATTTAGTGGTTAACTTTATTAATTATCAAGTTTTCTCTCTCTTTCAGGTACAACAATTTCACAAAGAATTCACCTTTGATGGGAACAACAGTAGAAATATATGAATACAACTATGGAAATAACTCGGATAATTTTATCGTTAAGACAAAAGGAAGACAACGGTTCAAATTAATAGAAACAGTAACTTTCTCCTCCAGGTGAGTTTCCTTCTATCAGCCTCAATCAGTAGCTGTTTTCACCTCTCCCACTGCTTTGTTTTACGCACAGATCATTGATTTAAAAAGAAAACTCAAAAAAAATTGGCCCAATTTTTAGAGGTCCACATTGAAAGAAAGTCTAAGCCAATAGATATCTAGAAAATTACAGTTAGAGTCGCCAAATATTAACTCTAAGGAATATATTTCAAAGCAAACCAAGCGAGAAGAATGCCCAGCCCAGGTAGGTGCATTGAATATACATACTTTGCTAGGATCCAACTGACTGAGGGAGATCATTTCCAATGTTGTTAAAGAGCAATTAAGAGCACAATTTGCAATTTTTGGCTTCTGTTTCAATAAGCACATATTTTATCTTGCAATATATGCGGAATAGTTTTATGAGGAAGGAGCTCAAAGGCTGACAATTTGTTCATTGAATAACAGAAAGTAACTAGAATTCAGTTTAGTTTACTTTATTATCATTCTTGTCCTGAGTGAACAGCAGTAATACCTCAGTTTACCTGTTAGACAATAAAATGTGGAAGACAGCAATAAAGGAAAGTAAAAATGAAGGAAGATTTTATTTATCCACTCTATTAGTGAACCATATGAAATGAATTTATGGCCACCACTAAACTTTTTCCTGGTGAAACAGAAATTTTATGTAATGCCGAAACTAAAATGTCTTAAAATGTTTTGATTTTCTGCTCTCCAGTTTTCAGGTAGCAAAAGTAGAAATTTTACCAGAAGTACAATTACCAGATTTTTTTAGTGAAATTAAAAGTCACTCTTTAAATAGATATCGAAAATCTCGACCTCAAAGGTAAGCTTCCTTTGTCTCTATGTTTCTGTTCTGATTTTTTTTCTTTAAATCCTATGCATTTGTTAGGGCATCTAAATCTGAGTTTTTTATATAAAAAAAGAAAAAAAGTGTGTTCCAAAAGCTCATCAATAATGCAGAGTATCAAAAATATATTTCTGATTTATCCATCTTATTTCGAAAAGGTCCTTGTATACTGTGTAATCCAAGAAGCATACCACTTTATTTGTGTGATTTCCCATCAGTGAGGATGCACTTTTTGAATGTAGGAGTTAACAAAGAATACAAATATGACAAGTATTTGCTTAAACTCAACAAGTCTTAAAGAATGGCTCAAACTGACGAGCAATTAATCCTCTTTTATTTGTCAGGTAAGAAGCCATTTGACTCTGTCTAAAATAAATACTGTGTTTTTTGTAGGTGTAAAAAAAGAGAAGCAGCCCTTACTCCGTGGCCGAACTGGGTGTATGATCAGTATGATGCCAAAATTCTTGTCACAAAAATCAAAGATGCATTATACTCAGGGCACAAAGGTATATCCTGTTTACATATGTATTATTGGTGAAATATTTATCCATAGGATTCGAATACCCTACTGACTTCTATTCATTGAAATTTTTAAAACAGTTATGACAAGCCAAATGCACTATGATATCCACACCTAATTAATTGTAGGAATGAACTTCCCAGCAAAAAGTTGGCAAAAATATTAGTTTAAATTTGATTCGAAATCCACTATATCCACTATCCACTATTTGAATCCATTTTATTTTGATCCAGGTGATCAAGGTATAAGTAGTTTTAAACGGTAGGCACATATAAAATTCATAATAAAAATCAACTTGAAATCATTAAATTTTTCATCGCACGGTCGTATGATTTTCGGCGATGGCTGCTTTAATCAAAGAAAGTAACACCAATCAAGTGCAGAATCGATACTTGTTAAATTAAGAAATTACATGTGGAACACCAAGTTTGGGTTCTTTTATTTGTTTTTGTTTTTGAAGTTTTGAATGGAGGATGAAGATATTTAGGATAAGCACACATACTTTCAACTCATAAAAGAGAATTGTTTGTTGCAAGAATCAAAACAGAAGAAGTAAATTGCATTGACTTTTCTTTGAGCATTTCTATTCAGTCATGTTTCTTCCAACATTCAAGCATAACAACAGGTTTTTACAGTATTTTTTAGGTTCTAATCAATTCTCTCTGTTTTAAAGGTCTCAGTGTAAGTATACCTGACGATCCCTCAGAACTGTCATTCTGGATGGCGCAATACTTAGCAATTAATGACGAGCAGAAGCTACAAATTTTGAGGACGAATAATCCAATTGAAAGACTGCGACTGGAATACAACATTTTGCTGAAGGTTTTTTTCCTTATGTTCTATTTAATTTAACTCAGCCAGCCACAGTGGTCCTGTGCTGTTCTGCAGCTAGTACTTCAGTTCCTAAATATACCTTGTAGCTTTTTTTTATTTGAATGATTCAATTTGGTATGAGGAAATCTTAAAAGTTAAAAATTTCCAAACATTTAGAATTTCAATCATTGAGAATTTAAAATATGCATTAATTTGAAAAATTTAAAATGCTATTATCTAAGTAAATCATTGATTTTTCTCCTAATCCATCTGACCTTTGATGTATTTTACTTCAAATTGCTTACTGTACTCATTTCTGCTCGGGATCCAGTGGATTAAATTCAGATGTTGCCGCTTTAACTGAAATTTGTACCATTTCAATGATGATTTTGTGTAAATTTGGCTGACCTTGGCTTCGGTCCCAGACAGTTTGATTGAACCATCATTCGCAGTTTTTTTTATCAGAATATTAGAAATTTGAAGGCCTTTGTTTTTTTCTATGGACATGACAAACTCTTTCAGATTTCTGCTGAAAAAATTGATAAAATGTAGGAACTCAAAAAGTAACTAGACCTATCAAAAATGCAAGGCCACTCTCTTTTATTGTACTTGTAGTAGAATATCCTAAGTCACAGTGACTATTTTATATTTCTAAAATTGACCATGTAACTAGAACCTAAAAAATCTAAAGTTCTTATTTTTCTTTTTGTGCAGAGCCGATTCATGTGTTGTTCCACTTGTAAAAATAAAATTGGAATGCAGTCAGACATGTTTTCAATGTCTGTGGATGGTCCTCAAGGAACGTTTTGTAATCCAAATGGATATGTACATGATGTTCTCACTTTTTATCAAGTCAAAGGTCTTCACTATGGAACACATCCACCATCTCTTGAATTTAGTTGGTTTCCAGAGTAAGTTTGAAAAAGAATAAGGTGCTTAACTTAAAATAACATATGCAACTGTGACTTCTTGATGTATGTAGAATCATACTTGGTTGATGCTCAAGTCAAGCGATATTTGCCATTGTCTATTCCAATTTCAAGTTTATGTGCAATACAATAGAGCATTAGGTGAGGTGCGAGTTTTAGCATTTTGATATTCGTTTTCTCATCAAAATTTTTCGCAGAGCGTGATTTGTACAGCAAAAATTACTCATATTAACTCCTAATGAAGATATTAACTTTTTTGATGCCTAATTCAAACTTCCTGCTCATGAAATAAACCATAATCTAATAGAGTTACATAGATTAGAATTTGAAAATAATAAATCAGAAGCTACAATTATGTATGTACGATAAAAAAGTAGACAGAGAGAATGAAGAAGTTAAAGTGGGGGAAACTATAATTAAACCTAAAGAAAGTTTGCGATACCTGGGATTTCAATTGGGAAAAAACTTCAAAGTAGGATCTCAAATAGAAATGGTATGCAAAAAAGCAAGGAAAGCGGCCAAAGGCTACAAGTGTCTGATGCCAAATGTTAGGGGGCCTTCATTTCTCAAGGAAAAAAAAAATTAATTGAGTTATATTTCTTGCAAAACGTTAACTCAGGACAATTCAAACAGTGAATGTTTTACAATGAATACCTCTAAACACCTGAACTTTCATACGCAAAGTGGAAAGAGAAACTGTAATTTGAATGACAAACTGACTACAGTAAACTTCATATGACAACAATATCTACCCCTTAAGGTGGTGTAGCAGAGACTCTAAAACTTTTTTAAAAATTTGTCTTCCAGGTATGCCTGGACGGTGGCTTACTGTGACTCTTGTATGAATCATCTTGGCTGGAAGTTCACTGCAACTAAAGATCAACTAGTGCCAAAAACATTTTGGGGCATACGGCGCAAAGGACTTGTTGCTCAGATTGATTGCAACCATGAATATAATGAAGGATTGTTAAGTATGCTTGAGTGAGTTTTTTTGACCCAAGACAGTTAAAGGTAATTCCTTGAAAACACGTTCACATGATGGTCTCAAAGGACCTCTGATCTAATGAGAACTGTTATTTCGTTCGTAGGTAGATCAGCATACATTTGATGGAACTCATCTCCAAGCATTTTACAACTCCAGCACGGGAACCATCGTTAAGCACCTGAGCAAGGAGTTACAAAGAGACCTTCATTTACCCACATACTTCAGCTTCTGACTCATAGTATTGTGAAACCGAAAATCATTAGAGTAGGATCTTTCAATTTCAAGGTTTTGTATCTGAATGCATTGCAGAGAAGCTAAGTGAAAAAATCTTTGGTGGATTTCTGTGGTTACTTTGGACGCCCTTTCATGTAAATCAATTGGTGTATTAAATATTATTATTGTACGGCTTTTGCACAACATTTGTAGCTGCCGATCTCTCTACCATTCCACCAACCTGTCACTTAACAATGGGCCATGTGACATTTTTGTATTTACCGGTGCAGGCATCTGAAATGCAAACAACAATCTCTAACTACCTGGCTGATCGTTTAGGAATTGAATTGACTTCCTCCTGAAAAAGAAGTATCCACAGCAAAAGTGCTGTGATTTAAGCTTTCAAAAGTTTGTCCATTCTCTTAACAGTACACTGAATATATGAGCACACACTGGAAATACACTGGACACTGGAAATATGAGCGTGTTACGGAATCGCTAGTTATAAGATGTTGAGCGACTTTGAAAAAAATTTAGAGTAGACACAATATGACCTGTGGGTCTTGAGGTGGGAGTCAGACCTTGATTTTTGGGGTGTAGAGGTTTTATATAGCTTCTGTGACGCAATACATATATCTTGCCACGAGTTGAAAAGTCCTTATCAGATGGTTGGGCTTGGCTGTCTCCAATCTTTCGATTAAGTAATCATACTCAGAGAAATTAGATAAAAAGCAAAGGGGTGAATGATTGAAAAAGTAACTTTTTGAATTTAAAATGAAGAAAAGTGAGTTTTATGTTGACTGGAACTGAAATAATGGTTTAATAAAAAAAAAGGGAAGCAGGAATGAAAAATTGGGACTAGGAAATATTACAGTAAGTATTGACGCTCTGAATGGCTTGAAATTTTTTCCAAGACTTTTTTTTAAATAAATTAACACATTTACAAAACATTCAGAAACTATCAAACAATTTTTAAAAAGTTTGGTTAGCTCTATTTTGTACACTTTTTGATGTTTTGTTTGATATGTACCTTTCTTTGTATCTGCATCCACAAAATTTGATTTTCCATCATGGATCTTTTTTGTCACAGTTAAAACTGGATAGGACGTAAGGATTAAGCTTATTTCTCTGAAGGAAAGCTTTAGTAGACTCAAATCTTCCATAATTTTTTCATTTTTATACTTTACATATGTTTAATATTGAAAAATTGAAATAACAACAACATCCTCTCCAAATTATGTCAACATTTCTCAGATTTTGTCAAAGCGTTGTCAACATTATCCCAAAGATATGGATATTGTCGATGTCATCCCAATTGACTTTAAAATCGGTCGAATGAATGCCAAAGTTGTTAGGCTATAAGTTTCTTTTGCAATAATAAATTAATGATGATTCCTAATTGTCTAAAAGTTGAAGTGTGTGTTTCTTTGAAAACCTCTAAAAGTTCAGAAAACATCTTTTGAAAATAGCTTTCCCGTCATTTTTCCCCCTTTCAAAGGTATCAATTGTCCTTACAATTTCAGTTTCACACCCATCATAATGTAGGTATTCCAGAGTCGAAACAGATACTTGTAATTTGCATTTCACTCAATAGCCTTCCTGCAAATTGGGCTGCATTTTGCAATAAGGAACCATCACCTCTGGCTCATTCATAAAAGCACCCACCCTAAGAGAGGGAAGAGTTGTCGTAGGGAAACTAATAGCACATATGCTGTTTGTAGTATAAGCCAGATATTTCAGTTCCTAACTGAAAAATGCAGTTTAATTTTTGCTACAGCAGAACAGTCAGTAAATTTTTGCAATTGAGCACAGTACACTTAATGAATTCGTGAATGCTGAGTGATGTTAAGTGAACCTTCCAACAGCCCCAAGCAGCATTTTTCCACGGAAAAATTGCTATATATTGCGATTTTATCGGCGATAAAACCACTAATTTTCAACATCTGAGCAATTATCCTTGATCTTATCGGGATAAAATCGCGATTTTATCGCCCAGCAATTGAGGACACCGCACCAAGAACAGCCTATAGGCGTATAGGTCGTTATTATGCCCATCTGCTTTTCTTATTCTACTTACCCTGGACTATGCTGTGGGAGTGATAGAATATAGATAGCAGGTAACGGCTCGAGGTCGAAAAACCTTTTTTTCCGAGTTAAGTCAGGCCTCTAGATCGATGGGTGCAAGAACGACCTATAAACGGGCCTATAAACTTAAGGGCCTAAGGTGCTGGTTACCCCCTTCTTTACTCACAATCGATATTCTTTCATTTTGCGTCAATCATGCGTGACTAATTTGATTTATACTTCATATTGCCACCAAAATGACTGTTGGGCGTAATAATGGCCTATAAACCGTTTTTTAAATTAAATATATTCGAGTTTAAACCCAAAATGTATCGCAAAATCTACCCGGCATCCTTCAATAGAAGGGTTAGGGCACCCAAAAACACCAAAACAGGGTACCTGCATAGAAAAGTCTGCGCAATACATCAGAAACAAAACTTTAAATACGTTTTTCCCAAAACGCGGTTTCCAGTTATAGGATATTCTTGGTGCGGTGTCCCCAATTGAAATAGCCTCCATGCACGCTGGCTTGTCGATTTCCTTTGACAATTTTGCAGTCGTGAATGCATAGCTGAAGTGCGCTCAAGCTAGAATTGTAATTAGCAAATGGGTGGTGTTTATACGAGGATTGAAAATAAAGAAGTGGTACGGAATATAACAAAAGAATATGAAATATGCAAAACGATAATCCGGGTATCGGAACTTGGCTGTTTTGAAAACGCCTTCAAATGCGGCGTGATACCTTACGCATTCCGGAGAGTTCAAATAGTTGTATCATTGCGCCGTAAGAATGTAACGGAAGAATAAAATGGAAATAGCCTCCATGCACGCTGGGCTTGTCGATTTCCTTTGACGCCCAAGTAGCATTTTGCAACGAAAAAATTGCAATTTAAATGAAATAAAATTTCCAGATGATTTCAACTTTCTTGCAAGAAAATTGCAATTATTTTACAACATCTGACCCCCTCATTGTAAAAAAGTTGCAATTTTTTTTTTGCAAAGAAATTTCAATATTGACGACCTTTAAATTTCAACCCCTAAATTTTCCGGGGAAATTATAATAATTCGAACCCATGCTTACCTAATGTCCTACGACGTTTAGCAGCATAAAATACCGGACGCTCTTGAGTGGGCTTGAACCCGACCCGCGAATGTCATAGCGGAGCACTCTTCCACTGAGCTACAGGGAGATGATGATGAGATGGGTTGAAATGACGCCTGTTAAGGCTGTTATCGCATGCATTGCGTCAGTGCGTGGCTCAACATTCATCATAGATTTGATTAACGCCGTTTTTCTCAGGCTTCTTTCCTTTGCCTATTATTTATTTTTTTTCGTGTTATTTATTTTTTTCATATTTTTTTTGTCTGATTTTTTTTTTCGATATCACGTAATAGGTACTCACACTAAATTTACACCGGTGTAAATTACACCACATACTAACTTGAGAACTTAAAAATATTTTCAAAAAATATTTTTAAAATATTTTCAAAACTTTGTTAAGGAATATTTTTAACATGCATGTTTACAGGCAATATTTTTGAATTATTTTAAAAATATTTTTTGTAAACATTTTCAAAATATTCCTTTAAAATGTTTTAAAAATATTTTGAAAATATCTTAATTACAATATTGCCATGAAAATATTTTGATAAAGGTGACAATATTTTCAAAATATGTTGGGCTATATGGGTTAGGTGAGACATTTAAGTCGAAAAAACTTTAAAACAACTAGAGAATTGGATGCCAGGCACATGGCGTGAATTTGTTACAACATGATTGCACCGAAATTGCAGTCTTTACAGTGCCTTGAAAAAGAAGGTTAGGCAACAAGCATAATCTACATTTCTTGCAAACTTATTGCAATAAAATTGCAACTTTTTAAGCGCCTTCAAATGAACGTATAGGCAACAAGCAAAAATTGCAATCAACTCACAATCCATTGCAATGAAATTGCAATCCATGCTACTTGGGCGTTTTTGTAGTCGTGAATGCATAGCTGAAGTGCGCTCCAGCTGGAATTGTATTTAGCAAATGGGTGCTTTTTATACGAGGATTAAAAATAAACAAGTGGTACGGAATAAAACATAATAATAGGAACTTTGCAAAACGATAATCCGGGTATCGGAACATGGCTGTTTTGAAAACGCCTTCAAATGCGGCGGGATACCTTACGCATTCCGGAGAGTTCAAATAGTTGTATCATTGCGCCTTAGAAATGCGACGGAAGATTACAATTGAAATAGCCTCCATGCACGCTGGCCTTTTCGATTTCCGGTAACATTTTTGCAGTCATGAATGCATAGCTTAAGTGCGCTTCAGCTAGAATTGTATATAGCAAGTGGGTAATTTTTATAGGAGGATTCTAAATAAACAAGTGGTTAGAAATGAAAAAAAAAAAATAATCTGAACTATGAAGGACGATTATCCGGATGTCGGAACTTTGCTGTTTTGAAAACGTCTTCAAATGCGGCGTGATACCTTACGCATTCCGGAGAGTTCAAATAGTTGTATCATTGCGCCTTAGAAATGCGACGGAAGATTACAATTGAAATAGCCTCGCATGCATGCACGCTGGCCATTTCGATTTCCATTAACATTTTTGCAGTCGTGAATGCATAGCTTAAGTGCGCTCCAGCCAGATGTGCATTCAGCAAATGAGTAGTTTTTATAGGAGGATTGAAAACAAACAAATGGTAGGAAATAAAACATAATAATAGGACTTTGCAAAACGATAATCCGGGTATCGGAACTTGGCTGTTTCGGAAACGCCTTCAAATGCGGCGTGATACCTCACGCATTCCGGAGAGTTCAAATAGTTGTATCATTGCGCCGTAGCAATGCGACGGAAGATTGCAATTGAGGACACCGCACCAAGAACAGCCTATAGGCGTATAGGTCGTTATTATGCCCATCTGCTTTTCTTATTCTACTTACCCTGGACTATGCTGTGGGAGCGATAGAATATAGATAGCAGGTAACGGCTCGAGGTCGAAAAACCTTTTTTTTCCGAGTTAAGTCAGGCCCCTGGATAGGTGGGTGCAAGAACGACCTATAAACGGGCCTATAAACTTAAGGGCCTAAGGTGCTGGTTACCCCCTTCTTTACTCACAATCGATATTCTTTCATTTTGCGTCAATCATGCGTGATTAAAATGATTTATACTTCATATTGCCACCAAAATGACTGTTGGGCGTAATAATGGCCTATAAACCGTTTTTTAAATTAAATATATTAGAGTGTAAACCTAAAATATATCGCAAAATCTACCCGTCATCCCTCAGGGTTAGGGCACCCAAAAACACCAAAACAGGGTACCTGCATAGAAAAGTCTGCGCAATACATCAGAAACAAAACTTTAAATACGTTTTTCTCAAAACGCGGTTTTCAGTTATAGGCTGTTCTTGGTGCGGTGTCCTCAATTTATCGCGATATTTTTAAAATAAAAATCGCGATAAATGGCGATTTAATCTCGATTTTATCGACGAAAATTGCTTGCGATTTTATGGAACCAAAAATTGCGATGTGTAGCAATTAATGCGCATGCATTAATCGCAATATATATCGCCCATGTATCGCAATTTTTAATGTGATAATATCGATCGATATATTTTTACCAATATAATCGCGATGAGCAACCAATAAAATCGCTATTTATCAATCATTGCTACTTGGGGGATCAGATTTAAGAATAAATTAATCGATACAATTTGGAAAAGCATTTTACTTATCTGTTTTGCAGAAAATATGCGGGAAAGAAAATAGCATCTATCTCATCTGGATTTAAATTATGATCAATGACATAGTCCATATTTTTCAAAGTACTTACCATGCCCTTAATCTTAATGTTAAGACTGTCCATCAGAAATACTCGACCCAAATAAATAGTAAATAAGAGTATGTTTTAAGGGCCAGCAAAGCACTGATAAAGTGTGTTACCCTCAGTTGCAAAACAAACAGTGACCATTTCAGAAGTTTATTCCACCCTCAGGTGTATTTTCTTACAACTCATTCTTACTTGAAGAGTATTTTTGTTCACATAAACAGACCTGAGAATGGAACAGGCTTTCAAGTACATTTTTTCAATATGAAAGGGAAGGTATTAATAAAGATCAAGTAAAATACTTCCTGCAGCAGCGATAAAAAAAATTCAAAAATATAATTATCATAATCAATTCATATTTTACAGAAAAAACTTTTTCAAAACATGTTGAAGTGAAATTGTGCACTATTTAATTTTCTTCAATTATTCAATACTTCATTTTAAAAGTTATAACCCATACCACTATCTATAGGATCTAGGTAATCTCTCCAAAGGTAAGCACATAAATACAATTAAAAATTTGAGGTACCTATGTATCATCTCAGAATGACTGAAATTTAAGGAAAGTCAATATAGTATAAGTTTAATTATCATCATGATATTGAAGAGCCCTCTAGGTGAGGACTGTAGGTATTCCATAATTCACAACTTCTCAAAAAATGAAATTTAGTATCAGTGGCGTAACGGACTTCCGCTGGGCCCCCCTGCAAAATTTGTTCTAGGGGCCTCCTAAGTCGATAAAATTCCAAAATTATCCCCCCCCCTCTCCCTTCCTCACCCCTTCCCGTTTTTTCTCGTATGGTCTAGGCCCGCAGCCCGAAAATGTTTGAGAAAATCAGCCTTAACCACCAAAAAATCAAAGTGGCAGCAGCTTATATCTTTTTACCTTTAGGTATGGTATGTGCAGGATTTAGCCTTCTTTTACTTTATGTTCTGAGGTGAAATTTGATTCACTTGCATGTTTGCGCAAATAAATATATTTAAAAAAAAATAAAAACGTAAAAGTACCCGACTAAATGGAGCCCCTAAAAGATCAATGATCTAAAGGAAGGCGGGGGCTCAGCCCAGGCCCATGAATCAAAGGGCCCCCAAGGCTTTTAGATTCTTTGGCCTCCCAAAACCCGAAATACGAAAAGTGGAATCATTGAGTGGACATGGGAAGGCAGGGGCCCTCCAGCAAACAAAAAGTTAGGAACAGTCCAAGAAAAGTATGAAAAACCCCGAGCTAACAATAAAAATCAAAGGAAGAAGCCCCATCTCGATAAGTAAAGGCCCAAAGTTTGAAACCAAAGCTGAGGATCAAAGAGAGAGAGAGAAAAAAATTCCGGCGGCCGAGGGCCCCCTAGGCGCCAGGGCCCCCCTGCATAGCAGGGTCTGCGGGGGCGCCCGTTACGCCACTGTTTAGTATTCCCAGAAAGGGAAATCACCCTTCACTTCCTCCCAATGCGCGAGATGAATTTTTTTGATAGACAGATGATGAAAAGCTGGGGTTCTTAAGAAGCTGGTAGAAAATTTATTCCCAACAAAAGAGAGTAAACCTCCATAAGAGGAGTTTAGAATCGGGATGCATTAACCCTTTCACCTATTTGTAATGATTACTTATTTACATGAATGTTTCACATGCTTCAAATTGTTACCGTGATTTTCCTCAATCATAAATTATAATTTTTGTGTCTTTAAAGAGGGACAAAAGCAACTATAATCAGATTTCAAAGGAAATAAGCTTTCTAGGTACGTTTTTGTTTCACCATTTACCTAGAGCTGCTTGGCTTCACTTAATAACCACCCTCTAGGTGAAGCTGCGTTGCTTAATTAAATATTAAAGAGAGAGTATCTGCATTAAGAGCCTCACACCCAGGTAAGCAAGATTTATTGCTTACGATGGAATTTGGTGTGTGGTCACAAAAATCGATGTCCAGTCACAAAAGTCTTTCAAAATTCATTTAAAAAAAAAAAAAAATCGAGTGTGAACTTAGCTACTAACTATTTTTGAAATTAAGAAAAGTCAAGGTTAAGTTTGCTCATTAACGTCATAAAGTGTCAAAATCAATATCATTTTGAAAAAGAAGTTAAAAGGTCTCTCAAGCGCCCTTAAATGCGCACGTCTAAAAATTATTTTAGCTAGACTCGTGTCGTGTCATCAGGGAATGATTTCTTGACGTCTACCCCTAGAAATCCCAAGCCAAGTCAAATTGACCCGACTACCTCTTCTGGGGGGCTTACATATGGTGGGTGAGGGGGGGGGGCCTAAACAAGCACCAGTACCTACTGCGTTACCAAAAAGGTGAAAATTTCCGGAAAAGGATCTCTTACTCTCAAAAACATAGAAACAACATGAGATCAATTGTCAAAATCAGTGAATTTAAGTACGGGTCCATTTGACCCGACTTGAGACTTAGCGTATGAAAAAATTCTTGAGCATTTAAAGATTAAACGATCAATAGAATGAGTTCCATTTGTGACACCTATAGGTAGACACTTTGCGATGCAAAACCGTTCAAACCTGTTTCAATTTTGTTCCATACAATAAATTTCAAACAGAGGAGCCCCTTCATTTAACGAATAGGCAACATAACAACACTCCGACACACCATGTACCCAGTTACAATTTAATGCGATCTATGGTACGTACGTTCCTGCGCCTGGTTTTTTTCCCTCTCCCCTTTTTTCTCATTATTATTATTATGATTGTATATTTATGTGTACACATACATTTATTCCATTTTTAATAAATAAGTACTAATCAAACATGTTATTATTCAAGGAACTCAAGAAACTTTACTGCATTTTTACTTCAATTCTTCGAAAAATATTTTCCTGAAGTATCTCCGACAGCTGATTAGATAGGAACATAATTTTATTTTTCTCCCCCCCCCCTTTCTCTTAATGGTTGAAGTTTCTCTCTTGGGGTAAGTCAGAATCAAATCAATTTCATTCTAATTATCTGCTATTTTCTTCGTAGCTGCCTCCCTTGACGCACCCTCTTTTGCAATTACAGCAGAAGGCATTGCATGAGCCCTTACCGCAGCAATATTTCCCCTGCTTGTAGTCCCGCTTGACATCGCCGCAATAATCGACGTCTGAGAAAGGAGGATGCCGTAACATCACGCAACATTTTGAGTCCACCGCTGGAAAGAGGCAAACAACTGCAATGAAAAACTGCAGTAAAACAGCCAAAAGTGTGTTCCATCCGAATTTCATCTCTATAACAACATAAGGTGTACGCTGAGTTTGTATCTTTTCTTAAAGATAATTGAAGCAGGTTGCTTGAAGTGTTTATCTGGAAAAAGAGAAAAAATGATTCAGGGCCGCTTTAATCTTGTAAAATCATGAAAAAAACGCGTATCGACGTTGTAATTCGGCAATCACATAACTCGGTTTGCGACGTCTCAGACTTCCTGACATACTCTATTTTTTAAATGGGAAACCACTCAATGGTAATGCTTAAAAACTGTCGTGATTTTTCTTCTCTGTGTGAAGAAAATTCTGCAAAAACTTCAAGGAATGATGTCAATTTGTTCCTTAAAAAAATAACATAGAGGCGGAGATTTTCAGACACCGCAAACGAGATATATAATATGTGATTGCGGACTTACGCCGTCGATATAAAGCAGTACTGTTTTGCATAGTAGACCCTATTTTTATAAAATTTGTCATCCTCCATGTAATAGTCAAAAGTTATCTGTTGACGAATTTGTCAAAGACACCATAATTTTTGTTAGAACCGGGTTTAGTTGTGAATTCATGTATCTGAGTGTTTGAAGAAAAAAGGAATTAAGAAGTAATGAGAAATAAGCAAGCGGTATAGTCGTGAACTTGCTTTAAAAATAACTTATCACCAATCGGAAGAAGATTACAGTTACGCCACGTCAGTTCGCCTTCAATTTTAGTGTAGGCAACAAACGCTCCCACGTGGTCGAATAGTGGTATCGTCGTAAAATGACATGGCGTTCTTACTCGGAGACGGAACACGCCCCAAAAGTAGCTGATTGGTGCAGCGCAACCCTGCGCCAGCCAATAGCGACGTCCCTCGGCGCCGCCGCTTCTCATTGGCCCTCGCATCACCGACCGGACCCTACATGACATGGTACCGCTCTAGACATCGAATTGCGTATTCAAAGAAATGAAGGAACTTTGAAAGGATTCGTGATATCATGCACTACGACATTGAAACTTCCAAACCATGTATCTCGTTTGCGGTGTCTAAAAATCTCCGCCTCTATTTTCTTTTTTGAAAGAGGAACACACGGACATCATTCCCTGAGGTTTTTGGCGCGTATACGTAGTATACCGCCTTTGCGATCGTTTCGACCCCCCCCTCGATACAATAACCGAGTCCCCTAGTTCCTTACCGAAAAGTGACTACCGCGAACTTCTGAGATTTTCCAAAGCGTGTAAAAAGTTTACTAATCCGTCAATAATAATGATTAAAATTTGTTTCTCATTCTGGGGCTCGCTAGTTTATGTGTAATGAATACCAAGAGTCTACGTTTCTTGGTTTTTTTTAAAAAAA